TCCAGCACAACACAAACTCCACATAAATATAAAAAACAAAACAAAAATGTATCTGCTGAAGCTCGTCAGGCCAAACGTGATTCTGATCGACTCAGGACGAAAACACGGATCAACATCGGCAGAGCTTTTGAATTATTAGTAAACTCTAATGAAATAGCAAGGTAAACTACATGAGACATGAAATTAATACAAAAGACTGTTCGAGGGATAAAAAAAAGTTGGTGCTTTAGGATGTGATTATGTACTAGATCTACTGTCTAATGTTACTCATCCCACTACTATCATATTATTTATAATAAACATTTCCAGACACGTTCAGTACAGTAATATTACTTCCTACTGTCTTACTGTTACACTGACATTGTTCAGTCTAGTTCACTGTTTTCGTTATCATATTATACATTCACATATGTTGACATTGCTGATTGTGAAAGAATAAGATACATGAATAGTTAGTGAAATGCCTTATGCTAACACCACATGCCGGCTAAATGCAGTCAATGTAACGTTATCATGGTACGAGCATGGAGCATTAGTTCAACGTCAAGCTGATAAAAGTAGCCTATTATTGTAACGTTGTAGTGGGGGTTTACATGAGTTTCCAGCATGATGTGTGATGCTTTCGCCGTTGCGTTGAAAGTCTCCGTGTGGCCGGTAGTGAATGCTCGCTCTTGAGATCGAGCACGCACACGAGCACGAGCCCTCTTGTTGCAACCTGAAACATCACCGCTAGAGGCCGCTAAAAAATACATAGAGCACCTTTAAATTTCACATTTTCTCTTCCTGGAAAACAAAAATATTGATGAGTTTTTGTCCAATCAGAACCCCCAAAATGAATATGTCACTCCCCCTAATAGGGCCTACCACCTGAATCTAGAAATAGCAAGCAGCAAATCATGGTTTATAGCCCATGACTACTATATATAAAGTATATATAATATATATATATATATATATATATATATATATATGTACATTTTAAAAAATGAACATAACATGCAATCAGTATGTGTAATTTACGTTGTAGAACAAAACGTCAAAGTATAGTCAGTTTAAGTTTATCATAGGCTTTATTTTACACCTCATTCGAAAAACCCCATTACATGTACATAGGCCTATACATTATAGGCTATATAATAAATAATTAGATAAGACAGTTTGGAGTGTGTGCAATTTACGTTGTAAAACAAAATGTCATAATATCGTCAAGTTATGTTTACCATAGGCTTAATTTTACACAAAAATTGAAAAACCCTATAATAAAACCTCACAGGAAAATCCTAACCCGCTGTGAATTATTAGTAGGCTATTGTGATTAGACGTCATGCCTGCATCACTCTATGATTGGATGGTTGTGGTTTGCCATTGCTGCTGTGATCTCATTTGAATGACAGGTTGTTCCGCCCTCGCGCCAGTAAACACGTCATCAGAGATCAAGAGATGTTGCTGCAAGAGGGAGGGGAAGTTATTTTGATTAAAGATCACAAGGACACGAATGCGCAATTTTTTTTTAAACCCCACAATTTACAAAAACACATTAGGCTATGTCTGAAAATATCCACAAAATGATGGGAGACTCGTAGATTAATTCAATTGCTGAAAACTGGAAGAAACAGGACAAATAATTAAGTAAGAGGGATTTCAGCACTGTGCTTTATCGCAGGTCACATAATAAATGATCACGGATGAAAAGTATGTTAGGCTGATATCGAATAACAGCAGCGAGCGCGAAGTCCAATTCAAGTGTGAAGTGACATGAGCACGTTTACATAGGCTACATACACTCACCGGCCACTTTATTAGGTACACCTGTCCAACTGCTCGTTAACACTTAATTTCTAAGCAGCCAATCACATGGCGGCAACTCAGTGCATTTAGGCATGTAGACATGGTCAAGACAATCTCCTGCAGTTCAAACCGAGCATCAGTGTGGGGAAGAAAGTTGATTTGAGTGACTTTGAACGTGGCATGATTGTTGGTGCCAGAAGGGCTGGTCTGAGTATTTCAGAAACTGCTAATCTACTGGGATTTTCACGCACAACCATCTCTAGGGTTTACAGAGAATGGTCCGAAAAAGAAAAAACATCCAGTGAGCGGCAGTTCTGTGGGCGGAAATGCCTTGTTGATGCCAGAGGTCAGAGGAGAATGGCCAGACTGGTTCGAGCTGATAGAAGGGCAACAGTGACTGAAATAACCACTCGTTACAACCGAGGTATGCAGCAAAGCATTTGTGAAGCCACAACACGCACAACCTTGAGGCGGATGGGCTACAACAGCAGAAGACTCCACCGGGTACCACTCATCTCCACTACAAATAGGAAAAAAAGGCTACAATTTGCAAGAGCTCACCAAAATTGAACAGTTGAAGACTGGAAAAATGTTGCCTGGTCTGATGAGTCTCGATTTCTGTTGAGACATTCAGATGTTAGAGTCAGAATTTGGCGTAAACAGAATGAGAACATGGAACCATCATGCCTTGTTACCACTGTGCAGGCTGGTGGTGGTGGTGTAATGGTGTGGGGGATGTTTTCCTGGCACACTTTAGGCCCCTTAGTGCCAATTGGGCATCGTTTAAATGCCACGGCCTACCTGAGCATTGTTTCTGACCATGTCCATCCCTTTATGGCCACCATGTACCCATCCTCTGATGGCTACTTCCACCATGTCACAAAGCTCTAATCATTTCAAATTGGTTTCTTGAACATGACAATGAGTTCACTGTACTAAAATGGCCTCCACAGTCACCAGATCTCAACCCAATAGAGCATCTTTGGGATGTGGTGGAACGGGAGATTCGCATCATGGATGTGCAGCCGACAAATCTGCGGCAACTGTGTGATGCCATCATGTCAATATGGACCAAACTCCCTGAGGAATGCTTCCAGCACCTTGTTGAATCTATGCCACGAAGAATTGAGGCAGTTCTGAAGGCAAAAGGGGGTCCAACCCGTTACTAGCATGGGGTACCTAATAAAGTGGCCGGTGAGTGTACATTTCAATGTATTTCACAACCAAGCCACGTATATTAAGTTGTGTAATTCTTTAAAAAGCGTTCAGATTGACCTGAGATCAAGAATGAATAATGCATTCGCCAGAAAAGGCTTCGTTTTGAACTCCTTACACGCTCCCCTGATATATGCATGACTATCAGAAGAAAGAGAATCCGCGCTAATTTCCCTTCCACTTTGCATATGCAGTGATCATGCCCTCATGGCACCGACATCCCGACGGAAAAGCTCTTTTCATCTCCAGCGAAGTGCATCTCGCGCTTAAACTGATTGGATTCTTGATGAGGCGGTCGGGGTGTCTCGCGCACTTCAGGCGAGGACGCGTCGAGCGCGCGGGAGCCAATTCGGTGCCGCTGAAGTGATTAAACGCGCTCTCGAGGTCCCCGGTAACTATCTCCGCGTACGGATGCGTGCGTGGACCGTAATCAGCGCACGCGGACAGGGAAAGCATAATAGCGCTGCTCTGCTCCTGGAGACCCCGTTGTCTTTAAAGTGCTCATATTCCCACCTAACCAGCATATCAGTATCCTAGCATTGTCACAAGAGTGAGAATGAATAATGCAGTGCAGTCCTAAATCATTTGCATGCAAACTAGGCAGGGAATGTGCGAGGTTTCCACACATTTCCACATCGCAAGACAGAAAAGGCGGCTGGACATTTAGGTCGGCTATTAGCAGATGCGATGTTGTTTTGATTCGCACACACACTGACCCCTTTCTGACGCAGCAGGTCAAGAGGTGACGGTCCACAAACCCGTCGAGTATATATTTCTGCGATGCGAGTTTACTGTCAATTCAAGAGTTTACAGAGCCAATTTACATGTATATATTTCCAGTGACACAGAAGGAAAAACATTCGGTCTCCCCCCGCTGCTATCGCAATCCTCTCCATCATGGTAGCGGTAAACAGAGAAACGCACAGTAATCCACTTGATAAATGTCAAGTGAAATGAAGCTATCAGCTGAAAGCAATTTTCGGGGCAACGTGCAGAGCCAGAGACTCGGGATTTTCACCCCTCCATCGATCATGAGCCGCTCTCTCAGGCCAAGGTATACAATGCCCCCAAATTGCTGACATATGGACCGGGGGAAACCTGGCCATTTCCTCTGTCTGCGAACTAGCTCCTCTAAACTTCTGTTTATTTAGCGACCCCATGTTTTCATCCATTAGAGACAATGGACATTAACATTAACACCATAAACATTTTTATGGTTTAAGTTCATTTTAAAGTCGCCATTAAATGGGAGTTGCGACAGTCTTTTATTCCCTATTGTGAAGTATATCCGAGTGAAACGGCTTCATGAACAAGAACAAATGTAGGGCGGGATTTGATTTTGTCTATGGGGAACTGATTGGATGGTTGTGGTTTGCTATTGGTGGATCTCATGTGAGTGACAGGTTGCCCCGCCCTCACGCCAGTAAACACATCATCAGAGAAGAGATGTTACTTTGATTCAAGATTATGAGGGGCACATGAATTCAAGAAAAATTATTCAGTCATTTATAATAAACACGACATTATTCCGTAAAAAAATAAGAATTGTCCAGTTTGATTTCATGGTGACTTTAAACTGTAACAATTCAGAAAGAACATGCTTAAGTTATACAAAGTCTGGAAAAAAAATAAAGTTTCTTTATTGGCATCTATGATTCCATGAAGAATCTTTCATCGCATAAAAGGTTCTTTGTAGTGGACCATTGTTATAGTGTGTAGAATTGTTGTGGTAAAATAAGGTATATTTTAAATTGCCATTCTAAAATAATCTTAGGCATTACGTTTCAACATTAATAAACAAAAACAGCAGATGTGGAAATATTAAAAACACACACACACACACACACACACACACACACACACACACACACACACACACACACACACACACACACACACACACACACACACACACACACACACACACACACACACACACACACACACACACACACACACACACACACACACACACACACAACAGAGTGGGCTACAGCACCAGAATAATAACCAATGCATTTTATTCAGTTTACATTGCTAGATCTGATTATATAGATGAAAATAATGACTATTTTTAGCTTGGTGGCTCCAATAGTGAATGCGAAACAAATGTTGGCAGCATGTTGCCGTGTGCCCTCGTTCTCCACCCTGTGTGACTTTCACCGTCCTGTGAAGAACACAGAGTTTACATTCAGTGCGGTGCTTTTTACATAAACACCCCGTTTGTGGCATTGCTTTGATTAGGAGGAGTACCCCAAATCACATTAAAACTTCATTTGTCCTCCGTTTGTTTGTTTGGAGATGTGAACACAAGGAGCACCATCAGCCACTGGCGTGCCACGCCAACATTTGTTTATGCATGAGAAAAACACCAAAACACCGTCCAAAACACCACCTTCAGCGCTTCCATCACCACCATCATTAACTGGTTTTCTGTTTGGGGGATTTTTGTTCCAGTTAAGAACAGCTGACAGCCTTTGTCTTGATGTTAGCGAGACATGGAAGGCCTTGTTGTCATCCAAGCAACTCCTTGGTTTTAGTGGCCAGTTGTTTGTCGATGTCTGCCGCGTAACTGTCTGCCATTTGTTGAACCTGGTGATATTGGACAGAACAAATGCATATTGTGAATAGTTATACTTTATAATAGTCACACATTCACATAACTGCAAAAATACCTTTTGGGTAGTAATTTATTTGTTATACAACAACTAATTACTAATAATATTTTATTATCATTATTACTACTACTACTGATAATAAAATGTTATTATTTATTAGGACTACTACTATTACTACTGATAATAAAAATGTTATTATTTATTAGGACTACTACTATTACTACTAATAATAACAACAATACTTTATAATTAAAGTATGTAAATATATATGTTTGTGTGTGTGTGTGTGTGTGTGTATATATATATATATATATATATATATATACACACACACACACAATATATATATATTTACAAACTTTTATGTTAGATGCGATTAAACGATTTGACAGCACTATTAAGTAATAACTTTTATTAATAATATTGTAATTTATTATTAATAATACTGCTACTTCTACTACTACTACTAATAATAATAATAATACATATTAATCTATTATACATTTAAATTATTTATTATTATTATTATTATAATTATTACTACCACTATTGCTGATACTACTACTACTAATTTATAATTAATATTTAATGATTAAACACTGGTGTCTTTATTGAATGTCTGTCATTTTGTTGTTGAACAACAGCACTTTTAAATTAATTTTTGTTTATTTATAAATAATAAGAAAGTTATTTTTATTTATTACTACTACTGCTACTACTACTACTACTAATAATATATTTATTTATTAAACACTGGTGTCTTTATTGAATTTCTGTCATTTTGTTGTTCTACAACAGTACTTTCAAATAATATTTATTTATTAATAAGAAAAACCATTATTATTTATTATTATTAATACTACAACTACTACTACTAATAAAACAATTTATAATTATATTTATTTATTAAACAGTGGTATATCTATATTGAATTTTGTTGTTATTCTACAACAGTTTCAAAATACCGCATCACTACTCCAACTGATAAATCCAAACAATTTTTTTCTATTGATCCTCATTTGTATGACCTGTTTTTCGATCAAGTGAATGGTATCATCAGAGACGCCCTCTTTGGACTTCTTCAGTTGACTGATGGTGTTGGACCGTACTCTCCTCAGCAAGTCCTTGGCCTTGTTACTGAACTGCTTCGCCAGTTTCACCAGATTCTCCCGGTGTTCTCGCGTCACCCTGCCAGACAAATATACGGTTAAACCAACTCAATACATGACTCATTTTAGATCATAATCATTTCCTGAAGAAAAGTCTTGCAGACTTATATTTTTAGGCGAGAGAAAATCTGATTGTCCCGACTATGTTATTAAGACTTTGATAATATGACGCTTATGACAGGCAATCTGTGTTTATGATACATTCTTAAGCCAGAAACAGCTATAATCTGAAACTAAAAAGTTTCACAATCAACAAACTGTTGTTCTTGCCCGAATTTTGATGTAGGTGTAGAAGTTTCCCCATCTTATAATTGGCATTTTGCTGCCAGCCATTTGCAAACAGTCCAAGAGTACTGTCTGTTTACTGCAAACAATGTTCATAATTACTGATTCCGAGCCAATCAAGCCTCCCGCTCTCTTTAGAAATGCAAATGCATGCGACGAGGCTGCGCTGATTACGGGCGAGACGTTCGGCCCCTTCATGCGCGCTGCCAGACAAGCACCTGCTGCTGTAGCTGTTGCGCGGCCTCGTAATCAAAGAGTTTTGTGGTTTGCAGAATGAAGGCCGTGCGGCGAGACTATTTGGCTTGGCAGGGAAGAGGAGCGGCGGTCAGAGATCGAAGACCACTGAGTTTTCTTCTTTGTATCAAATATAATAGCGAGTGTATGAAGCACAGAAGGGAAAACATGAAAAATAGCAATACAAAGTTATCTTAAACTCTAACAGAACAGACAGCAGATACATTTTGAATACATATTTCAGATGTAAAAGAACAGGATATGGTTGAAATGTAAGAAAGAAGAAAAGCAAGCAACCCTTGCTAGAGTGTTCTGGGTGGTTACATACTAAGGAGTTCCTATGCAATTGATAAGGTATTTTTGGGTGGTTGTTAGGGTGTTACTATGCTAGGTGATTGTTGCTAGTGATTGTTTACTGGCCCAATCTGGCCTGATTGTTTAAGTGAAAAAAGGCCCTTCTTCCCCTTGATAGGAAAAAAAGTTAAAACCTCTCCCAGCATGATCAAGCAGATTCTCAGCTGGTCTAGATGGGGATGCACCGATACAAACATTTTTACAGATACCGATAATTCTTTATATTTGAAAGCCGATAAATCTTTCTATATAGTTTTTGAGAGACTAATTACAAAAAAAAACAAAAGTCTCAGCATTAAAAGCCATGTCCCAAACACACAATTATTATGTTCTCATTATAATTTTATGTTTTCCTTTTTTGAAGTGATTCCAATCATATTTCAAGCAATTCAAACCATCATGTTGAACAGTTTGCATCTGAAGAGTCTCAGCTGAAGGAAATAATCCAGTATTTATCGGCTTTAATATTTCGGCCAAAGTTTCTTATCGGGCCGATAACATTAAAAATGAACATTTATCGGCCGATACCGATATGGTGGCCGATATATCGTGCATCCCTAGGTCTAGATGATCTCCCAGTCTGGTCAACTGAAAAGTGAGCAAAACCCCACTAAAATCATAGCAATTGTGAAGCTTGCCTTAAGTTAAAAAGACAAAAGACATTAGCATTGGGAAAATAGCATTGCACAGATTGCATCATGAACTGAAGAGAAATCAAACATAGCTTGTAGAAAGTGATGGTGAGAGTGGTCATGAGGATTCAGGCCCTGGGCGGTAAAACACTCACATGGGAACAGGCACCCTGATGATGGTGCCCTCCACGTCTGGGTTGAGTCCCATGCTGCTGTCTTGCAAGGCCCGAGTGACGGCTGCCGTGGCCTGAGGACAAATCGCACAAACACACACATCAGAGCTAATGACAGCCAGCTGGGCTTGCGGTACCTGCTGCAAACCTTCATGCACCCTTTGCATCTCTCCAGCCCTCATATCTCACTAGACCAGCCCCTTCCAGATCAGTGGAGTCCCCCGACCCCGGGCCCTTTGATCCAGAAGGAGCTGGGCAGCATCTCCCCATGATGGAGCTCCAGAGAGAGGGGTAGAGGGAGGAGTGTGTGGTGTAGGAAGCGCCGCGGGGCACTGTCAGCACCAGATCCCGTGGGATGGAGCTGAGAGGTTGCAGTGCAGGGCATTGACCCACGTGACCCTGTTTCTGCCTGTTCACCTCATAACCTATCACAACTCCTGTGGCCAGACTAGCCTGAGATTACACTCTGAACTTGTGTGCAGGCAGTCTAGTATACATCATGGGGGCCGCCAAGTTTCACGGATAAGGATATAGACTGTTTGGAGTACTAGTGTACTGCATACTGCACAGTATATGATTGAAATATAAAAATAAATAAAATGCTTCATTGGCCAAATTCTGCAAACTTTCTGTGCATCTTTATGCACGTTCATCAGATATCATCTTGTTAGGCTACGTTCACACTGAGTCTATATCCAATTATTTGTGTATCCGATTGGAATCTGATCTGAATTATTGACTGTCCACATTGTGTTTCGCAACTGTTCAGATCCGTTTTGTGTGTCCCATGGTACTCTTTCGTTTTCCGGAATATTTTGGTATACGGCAAAACAATACAGATGTTGTCTTGTTTACAATATGTAGCCGTGCGCTGGACTCCTGCGTCTTCTGAGGCAACGGCAGAAACACACGAGGCTCCGTTATATTGTCATTTTCTGCTCGTCCGTCACTTTGCAACAACACAACCTTGTTTCTGCAGTGATGTTTCCTATAACAACGTCTGACGTTTACGTTTAAATCTGATCTGAGCGGTCAGACTGAAACGGATTTTCAGAAATGTGATTCGAATAGGATTTCAAACCACATGTAGCTCGAAACAGATTTGATTTTTTACCATTCACACTTGATACATCTGATCAGTTTTCAATCGGATATGCACAAAAACTGTTTTTGGACTGACAGTAGATGTAAATGCGCAAAAACTGTTTCCATTGCAGAATTGCATAAAAAACTACGTCACGAGGGTAAAAACTGTTTCCCGATATATGGGAGTTTTTGTGAAATCGTTTCAATTTCAAGTTGCGCAATTTGAGCGGTAATGGAAACGCGGCTAGTGTGAACGTAGCCTTAGAGTTCACACATCCGAGCAAGTGACGTCTGATTAACAAAGAAATGATTCTTATGAACTGATTCTTTTTAATGAGCCATTCATAAAGATTCACAAAACTCACTCCCTCACTGTCATCACACGTCATTTTTATCGGCCTTTAATTTCGTGCAATTTATTTTCTGGTTGTTCGTGCCAATGTGTAAATAATTTACACAACAAAATTCTGTTGTGAATATGTAAGGGAATACTAAAAAACAATCAAATATTTCACAAGAACATTATTAATTATTGTTTAACATTCATAACAAATCCAAGTGTAGAGTGGAATCATCTGTAAAGGAATCTTTACAATCTTCAAAGCATGTTGGAACTATAATCAGCATAACATTTTACCTTTTTGCACACACACACTTTAAAGAAAGCTGTACACACACTCCTCTTATGTTAAATGCCTTTCTTGTGAGGTCTGACTCAGTGACTCAGCCATTGTATGCGTGTGATTCCTCTCTGAACGTCATCCATCATTAATTTCTGGTGGTTCAGAATTTTACGGTAAACCCAGTATTGTTCTGGTTAGGAACTTTAAAAAAAAGCCCAGTTACCCTCTGTACTTGTGATATATATATAAAAAAAGAGGGTTCAAAGTCAGCTTCAGAAACCGTGGGCTAAAAAAAACGCTGCTTTCTTAATGATTCTGGATCCCACACAGGCACACGGAGATCGAAAGCTAATGACTGCTGTCTGCACCACAACACACAACAGCCACTGGGGTTTCTCAACCAGCCTGGACCTTCTCCGGCCCTCTAATGAATGAATGGAAAACAACGCCGTCTTCTCAAAGAGTGTGTAATGGATTAGAACAATCATGAAGCTGTTTGCTTTCGGGCCGGGCCAGTCACCTTTGTGTTGTTTTTTGCAGGCCTGTTAGGTAATGGCCAGTTTTTCCTGACACCCTAAACAGCCGCATCTGGCATTATGGTCATCTGAGCATGAAAACCGACCCCTTAATACTGTGCAGGGTCTTTTTTAGTATTATGATGAAGAGGCAAATCCATTTGCAAAAGGTTAATTATTATATCATTAACATAAGGTGTGACCCCCACACAAGGGAAGTTAAATTTAGTCCTATTTCTGGATTTATTACATTACATGGACAAGTGCGGCATTCAGCAGTCAGATATTTTTGTATAATGACTACTGACAGTAACTGAATATTTCACTCGTTTCATGACAACAAATGCAATGCAATTAATTAACATTGCAATATTCATGGAGCGTTGAAAGGCTAATATGTTGTAATGAACTAATAACAGAAGAATTAAGTCAGATAATCATACATTTATTTAAATTTCAATATATAAATAAATATCTATATATAACCTTCAGGGTGCAACACCCCACTGCTTTGGTTTTGATCATCCTATCAAGGTGTACTTTGTAATAATGGCCGGCTGACTGTACATTATCCCTTACATGTTTTGGCTTGAAGTCTCCCAGGATGGATGACAAAGGTAGATTGGTGGGTTTTAGAGTCACCAGGAAACCAGAGCCTTTGGTATTGAGTAGACATAGGCCAAGAGGAGAAAGCATTAATCTCATTAGGGTTATCTGAACATCACGCAGAAAGAACTCAAATACATCAGCGGAGAGTGTGGTGACGGGAGAAGGAGGAGATGGAAAACAGAAAGACAGCGTCTCAATGTGTGGAGAGGCAAAAAGACACAGAATAGAGAGAGAGATATCACACATTAGCTCAGGTCTGAGTTCCAGAGGGCACTTTGCGGTCATTTCCTGGCCTGACAGCTAACCACAGACTCTTGGCCTACGTTTCAATCGTTCTCCAAGAACAAAGGGCTTCCCCCAACAATCAATCAATTTCTCTGAAACCAGGCTGGAAAGAGTCCATCACACTCAGGTTTCAGTAGGAGAAAGAGTGTGTTTTTGGTGTGTGTGTGTGCTTGACTTTGCATGCAGCAGTGTGAACTGGAAGTTCTGCTAGGAAGCTATCTGTAGTTTGGTTACATACCTCTGGGAAGCCAGTCATGTTGACCACAAGTAGCTGAGGAGACTTCATGGATATCTGGCCCAGCTGGTTGAGGGGAAATTTGCCATCCTTTGTGGTGACTATGATGTGGTCCAGCGCACCTGAACACATTACACAATCCTTTGTTAACCAGTGGTTTTCTCCACAATTATTCAGCGAGCTATTCAACCATTTGCCACTGAAAATATAAGCAAAACACATAGCAATAAACTTGCAATATGCCAGTTAAAACATCGTAAGGAATCACAACACATACTTCCTACTAGATGTAAAACGCATCCAAATCAATCACAACCAATCAGAGAAGATGTGACGTTTGATATACAGTTACTTGCCATGAGATACTGGAGCAATGATCTAGTGAGTCACGACAAAAATGGAAAGCAAGTAACCAACAAGATGTCTTGCAACATCTTCAACTCCCAGGAAATGCGTGTTTCTGAACTGAAAAACTGTTTTTTGTCCATACAATTAAAATAATTGAGGCCCAAACCAACACTGAATCCCATTGTAGATAAAAAACTGAAAATGAGTCTTCAACAAAATATATTCTTTGTCTGTTCCACAGAAGAAAGAATGTAATGTGATACAGTTTTGAGTTTTCTATCCCTTCAAGAAAACCAATGGAATAATTCTGTCTGTCAACTATACATTTGCCTGCATTCTGTATCCTTTCCCAACCCGTCTCAAAAAATGAAAGGTTGCAAAAGAAGAGGCACCTTCGGATGACTGTTGTGACGACACGTCTCGCTCTCCTTGAGGGATGAAAGCACCCACTCCTTTCACTCCAGACAGAAAACCAGAGCATTTCACCAGCATGTCTCATTCCCTCATCTGTCTAACCTCACACAGCTATGTTTCTGTCTCCCGCCCTTTGTCCCCGGTCTTACCTTACTTTATCCCACACTTACGAGAGCCTGGAGAACAGCTGAGACGCACTGCCCTGCACTTTGATCTTTCATGAGAGAACCTGCATGTGCCTTTCTGCTCAAAGAAAACACTTCAGAACTTCAAATTCTCCATATATGTACCATTTTGTCAGCTTGTTGAACAGTAACATCAAAGAAGATCATACTTTGCGAACCAGCTTCATTCCAATTTCAGATGGGTTCAATAGTGCATATGTGACTTTGACCAAACTTCGACCATTATCTTGTCATGAGCAAAGGTATGGAGAGATTTGGCCCTGGAACCCACCTCAGATTGTGTGTGTGCTACCTGGAAGCGTTCACATCTGCTAACGCTTCCGTGAAACATTTTGCTGTTTCCTCCACTAAAAAACCTTGAAGATTAACAGGGAAGTTATTAGCCAAATGGGCTCTTCCTGGTCATGGTACCAATTGTTGCCCTCTCCGTTTCAAGAGCCTATAGGTTAGACAATATTCAGAAGCAAACTGGCTTATGTTAGATTTATTTGCTTGTTGAAGAACCATCATATGATGGCTGTTTGAGCCTCTGCTGGAACCACCAAACTCCTGTCCTTGAGATGAGGTGTTTGGAAAATACAAAGGCTTTTGTGAAGCGATATCCTCTGACAGTAGATTTATCTGGAACAAGAGAATGTACATTTGCGGAGAGCCGAGCACAAGCGGTCTATCCTACAGATGACAGACCGACAGGTCGTAATCCTCGTATATTGTGCCCAGACGCCGGGTCACCACATTAATCCCGCACTCCGCAACCTCCTTCCCTCGGCCAAGGTGATTCTCCTGTCCTTCATAATAAAGTCGCTGCTTAATTCAATCCAGATGATTTGATCATTTGCTTAAAAGAACATCATGCCATCTCACTGACTTTCCATATTTGTTCCATGGAACCAAGTCCGTGCTGGATCAAGGAGAAAGGAGGAAAGGACTGGCAAAGGTCAGGAGGTGAAAGTGAAGAGCATGGACTCCACAACCACAATTCCCAAATGCCCAACTTTTTTGGGTCTTTAGGGATTGGGCTGGAGTGAACGGGGGTCGACCTGGATGTACTTCAGGAAGTAGGATTGCAAACAGGGTGACCCCACCTTGTGGAACAATAGTCAATGCCAGAACATGTGCAAAGGTGGATCGCTGTGCATTGATCCTCATGGGAGGACGAGGTAACACAATACTCTCTTAGCCTTGTGTAACCTGAAGGCCAGTGTCCTGTTGAGTTTGGCTCTAACCCCTAACCAAAACACACACGGAAAAGCTAATAAAGGTGTTCAAATCGCAAAATACAAACAGGTAGTTTTAGTTACATTAGTCGGCAAGACACTGGCCCTTCAGGACTGGAGTTGAAGAGCCCTGATGTAGATGACGTGGGTTAAAGTCAATGACACCAAACACCATAGGATCTTGTGTCTTGTAACTGATCGTGATGCACAAGTTTTATCCAAAGTAGTGCATGTTAGAAAATGTGATCGTCTGGGGGAAGATTCTCAGTGAATAAAGCTTCTTATGGCTTCAGAAGTCATATTATTTCTGTGAATTAATTTAGACGGTCCGATTCAAAACTCTGATTGAATTGTTTGTTTGCTTTGTTATTTAAAAAAAAGGAAGTCTCAATGTGCTATTTCACATATTAAACCTTTAGTTTAGGGTCCAATTCTCACTATTAACTAACTTTAAACTATGGCTTTTGCCTGAAACTCTTAAGGTAGTCTTAAGGTAGTTTAGGTACTGGGTAGGATTAAGGGATGTAGAATATGGTCATGCAAAATAAGGCATTAATATATCCTTTATAAGTAATAAACAGCCAATATAATATGCATGTTAATAAGCGACTAGAATTGGACTCTAAATTAAAGTGTTGCCAATTGTCTCTTTCCCATCTCAACTGAATTTAAATTGCGGTGAAGTTCCTTCAATTAAATTTAAGGAAGTTGAATGCAATCCCAAAAATATGGTATAACAGCACTATAAAAATAGATTTATTATTTTAAGCATAAATTATTACGCATAAACATGTCAACATAAATTATGGTACATCAAATTAATAAATTAAATAATGAATAGAGTCAAACTTTGAAATGAAATATGATGAAATGCTATAGACTAATTTAAAATCTGTTTTCATGTTTTGTTAAGAAGCAAATGTATTCTACATATAAGTAAATAAATTAGTCAAAATTAATTATGTAATTCCTGTGTTGTGTGAAAGTGTAGAACTATCAGTTGCAATTTAGTCAATTCCACGGTCCATGTCATTCTAATTCAAATTCTGTGAAGTCCGGCCAATTCCAGTTCAGTGCTCTCCAAAATATAACTAGTCATATAATAGTCAGAATAGGCACATTTCAGAATTTTTGAATGGCTTTCAATGATCAAAGATGCAGTTCTGTGGTGTAGTAATAACATCCACCAGCAGGGGCAAACGAGTCAAGCATCACAGCATAGGGTTAAAGGGACAGGGTTGCCTTGCGTGTCAGTGTCCTGCTAGGTCCTGACCTGGTGATGTGCGAATGCTGAGGTTGCGGCTGAAATCCTCTTTCAGGGTAGTCAGGACAGCTGCCATGTCTTCCTTCACATCCTCCAGGCTAATAATATCATCCACCAATGCTGCCTTGATGTTCACTTTAGCCGTCTGCCCTTTTGCCTTTGCTAACATATAAAAAAGCAACAAAGAAGAAAGAAACATTAACGTCTTCATCACTGGTGCCTTCAAAAGAAAAGCTGGAGATAGAAATGAAAGATTGTGACCAGCATGCTGGCTGATTGTTTCAGCAATTACAAATGAAAGCAGGATTTGGAGGTCAGAGAGGGAAAAGAGGGGATTTCTCCTCCCTTTATATGGGCTCAAAGCCCACTTGAGTGAAGCTAAACAAGCTCTGCTTTGGAAAACAAATACAACATCCACTCCTACCCCTATGCTGGACGCTCTTTGTTGTGGGGGATGAGTACTAGCCGCAGTCCTGCACTCACCTTTACTCTTCTTTGTGGCATAATGACGGGCATAATTCGGCAGGACCACGGGACGGGGCAGAAAGGGGAGTCTTGAGCAAGTCACCAGCGGGGTCCTCACAACAGAAGGCACAAATCTGCACAAAACTGGCCGCAGGAGGTTCAGATGACTCAATGCCATGTCTGTGGTAGCGATACTAAATCATGGAAAGAAAATTATTTAATGCAAGGATGTTTAGAGCAACTTTACATCAAATACAGATTTTGAGAGCTGTAAAAAAAAAAAAAACGTATTGGCCACTGGCTAAGATTCAAATTGCCACCAGGGGGCGTCTCTAAAATCTAAAAAGTCCAGTACAGAGACATTTACACTTACATTTATTCATTTAGCAGAGGCTTTATCTGACTTTAAACGACTTAGGCTTTAGGCTTTAAACAACTTACAAAAGTGGAATACAACAAGCCAACGAGGCAATACCACAAGAAGTGCTAGCAATAGAAAGCTTCAAACATCATCTACAATAGTACACTACAAGCTAGAACAGGGAGGGATTTAAAGGGATCGTTTACCCACAAATGAAAATTCAGTCATTTACTCACCATCAAGTTGTTTCAAACCTGTATGAGTTTCTTTCTTCTGCTGAACACAAAAGAAGATATTCTGAAGAATGTCAGTAACCAAACAGTTGACGGACCCCATTGACTTCCATTGTATTTTTTTCCCCATATACTGTGGAAGTCAATGGGGTCCGTCAACTGTCTGGTTACCGACATTCTTCAGAATATCTTCTTTTGTGTTCAGCAGAAGAAAGAAATTCACACAGGTTTGAAACAATATGAGGGTGAGTAAATTTTGGGCGAACTATCCCTTTAAGATATGAAAGCAGAGACAACACAGCAGAGACTGGGAAGCACACCAGTTTCATCAAACACAGACACTAACAAACTAAAAAGCATTGCAATAGTTTCTAAAATAGTGTCACTGTCATTTTAGTACAAATACATCTAACAGCAAGTGGGTAAATGACAAATCAAGAGTGTCCAAAAAAGTTAAAATGCATGTGCAAAGTTGAAATTAACTCATTGTATTCATGTTGGTTTTATATAGTAAAAAAAAAATAAAGCATTTTTATTGTCATAGAAAGGTCAAATTATCTGATATTTTAAGAGACTTTATTGACCTTGACAGACAGTTATAAGGGTCTGCAGGAGCAGTCTACATGATATCATTTCCTGTTTTATCACATGACTTTGATTTGGCGAAAAAAGTTTTTCCAATGTTTATAAAATTAACCACTTCACTGCTTATAATATTAATTTTAAAAAGAATTATGCCAAATTACTCAGTTTTTTCCTCAAGAATTCCATCCTTTGAAAAATTAAAACCTTACGTTGTATTAAAACCTAGTATGATTTTAAAGCAAGTGTTCACAAAAATATTAAAATAAAATTTGACCTAGATATTAAAAACAAAATTATCACACGATAAGGTTTATTCAAGTCATTGCATTTATGAATTGTATTTTAAAATATATTTTTTATTTTTTGTTCCCAACAATATTTTAAATATACACATTTAAAATATTATATATAATATAACATAATCCATGTTAAAACTAATTTCAGACATTTTCAGAAGAAATGTGTGTGCAAACGTCACTTTAGCATGTTTTTATCATGTTGTGAGGGCGTTCTGGGTGGTTTCTTAGTTGGCTTAAGTTTAAAAAAAAAAAAATATCCACCCCCAAATTTCTATGATTTTAGTCCCTTGATATGTCTCAGGACTTTCCTTCAATGTAAGTTTATACAATTTCCAACATGTTTATAGTTCACCAGGTGAAAATTGTAAGTCTGATGGCTTAGTAAAGTAATGGCACAACTCCCCTCAAGCCGCAGGATTTGCCGTATCATTCATGTCCGTAGCACAAACAGTGCTGAGTTTAATTCTCAGGGTTAGGGCAGTGGTCCTCAATCCTGGTCCTGGAGGTCCCCCAACACTGTCTCCTTAATCCAACACATCTGATACAACTCATCAGCTCATTAGTGGAGACTCCGAGTCCTGCAATGTGTGTGTTGCTGGTGTTGATTTCCCCCTGTTTGGTAGCATAACTCTTCAACTGGAGGTTGTTTATCAGCGTGGACTGTAACAACAGCGCAGGTGCTCTGGGAAAGAGCTATAGCCTAGCTATACGTCACGGGTTGCTTGCGCCTCCGTCAGTGCTTCTTTGTTATGGCTAGCGTGAGGTATCCCACTAGTCAAAATACAGCCTGGCTTGTGCTTCTCCAAAGGACAGCGATTGAAAAAAAGTTTGGCTGTGTGTTTTTACAGTTGCTGTGATAAAGATAACTCGATGGCACGGGTCTGATAGCAGCCACACACACGCACGAACCGCGATTTTTATCAGCTCTTGATGATGCATGTTGCAGGTTCAATGGGAGTCGCAGCTGTTATGGTTAGATGCTGCTCAAAAAAATGAAAAGCGTGACTCTTCTTGTCGTCCTTAGGAGATGGGAGTTGTCCGACACGGGTGTTTTGGTCCACGGGGTGTGGATGGAGGGTTTAGAGGGGCCGTCAAGCAGAAAACTGTTGCGCAGGTGGTCTGTGGGTTACAGCGCGCCGCCATTTGATTCACACCGGTAGGAATGACAGCGGTTGGCATACCCTCATTGCGTGAGCTCACCTCATGAAAGAAATGTTTACAGTGTGAACCGTTAAAAAGTCCTTACTGTAAAAACTGACACAGTGTAGCATATTGGCTTGTGGTAATGTAAACCCGCGGTAGGATTTCATGATGTATTGGCCACTGCTTTCACACCAGCGTAAAAGAGAGTGTGGCTCGCAATTGATAAAAGCAACTGTATTTCATGGATTTTTTATTTAAAGGCATAGCTCCCCCACCATTTTGTCCATTGAACACATAAGAGATTTTTAGCAAGATAATCATGATGCTCTTTTCCATACAAATTAAATTAATAGTAACCTAGGGTTGTTAAACGGATCTTATTGTGCTTCTTTACATGTGTCTTTAGTGTAATGTTGCTGTTTGAGAATGAAAAGGGTCTGCAAAGTTACAAAGCACAAAGTCTATATACGTGCGCACTGTTTCTGAACTCCCTGAAACGCCCCAATTGCAGTCTTGAGTTTTCTTCCGGGAACAAACACATCACAATATTCCTCATTTAAATAATTCCCGCCCAAGGCATATGTATGAATGAATGAGGCATTTATATAGTGCTTTCATATACTACTGTACACCCAAAGCGCTTTACAATCATATCAGGGAATCTCTCCTCAGCCATCACCATATGCAAAAAAGAGGCCCGCATTAAAAACTGATCGACCAATGAGATTGGCACTTTTGTTCACGTGCCTGGAGCTGCTGAAGTTACAGTACTTGGAGGCGCTCAAGCACAAAACGGTCTTGCCGAGCACACATTGATAGAAGACGACGACGGAGAGGAAGTAATAAACGAAGAAGATGCAACAAGGCAAGATGAATGTACAGTAGAGCTGCTGGTCTCTTTGGTGTCTGAACACAAAGAACTTTATGACAAATGGCACAGCGACTACAAAAATCTCAATAAGAGGGAGTTGTTATGAAGAGGAATTGCAGATCAAATAGGATTCGATGTTTTTTCAATAAGCGGCATCTACTGTCAGGGAGTGAATTTGCACTTTCACTCAGCGCATCGCCAGTGAAAATCGCTAGGGTATGATGAACACAAAGACGCATCGAAAAATTGTATCGAAAAACGCTGGCGATAAGCGCACGCGATAATCGTCCCGGTGTGCACGAGGCTTTAGTAGTGTGTGAAACTTGTGGTTATGGTAAGGGGAGGGACATTTCCCAAACACGCTTCATCAATCACAACACTCTGGTCCAGGCGACCAATCAGAGCACATTGTGCTTTTCAGAAGGAGGGGCTTCACTGAGACAGGAACTAAACGTTTCCTGAAAGCATCGCTAGCAAACTATGGCCGCAAGTTCTGTCATTATCAGCATCGATTCGTTCAACGAGTCGTGATTCCCAAAACCACAGTTCCAACGAACATTCGCAATCAGCATCGCAAAGTTGTGTGGTCTGAACGACAGCTCTGGACCTGTGGTTAGAAACATAGTTTCTTATTTTTATAACATGTGGACTTAATAAATCCTTATCTTGAGCAAAATAAACATTAACTACAATCTATATCTTTGATTTCTAATACATACTAATGTCATTTACATCTTTAAGTTTGTCATGAGATTTAAAGCGCTGTTTTTGAAGAGTGCATCAATAACCAACGTGGTTGAATGAAAAATTTTGTGAAAATATGGTTTCGGGAAACAGTAGTGACTAGCTTGATTTCTTTAGCGATGCATCGTATACTAGTTAAGCAGCGAGTTACAGCGAGTCGTTGTACGTAGAGCCTATATGTATGAGCCTACTGACTTCCAAAACTCAAAAATCTTTGAGTCCCACAGACGAAAGAAATTCATTCAGGTTTAAAAGCAATGAGGTTGATGACAGAATTGGGTTTTTCTTAGCGAAGTATCCCTTTAACCACCTGGTCACCATTCACTTGTATTGTACTAAGAAGAGCAGCATGAACATTCTGCTAAACATCTCCTTGTGTGTTCAACGGACAAAATGAACGTGAATAATTGTGGGTGAATAAAGATGATATTCCTTTTTGATTGAGATATGCCTTTAATTAAAAAGCCTTGAAATACAGTTCCTGCAAAAATGACAAAAATATTACAAAAGGAGTTATTTTAATTATGATATATAGCATGATGTATTCATGTTCTAAAAATATCAATATAAATTATAATTAAAAACAAATGTATCATGTACGGTTTATTCAAGTCATTGTATTTATGAACAGTATTTTAATGTATTTGACATTCTTTTCTTTTTTTTTTTAAAGAAATACATTTTGTTAATAAAAAATAAAATATATATATTTTTTATATTTATAATACAGTAGTCAATATTTAAAGTGGATCAAAACCTTTCGTCAAAGTTACATGAATTTTGAACAATTGTCTTAGGACAAGTTTGATTACCTTTTTTTCATCCACTATGACATGATATATGCCTTTAATTAATATATATCCATACTCTATATAAAACTGGATGAAGAGTGTTAATTTAACAAATGTTATGATTTTAAAAACTTACAAAATGCATTTATTTAAATGTTTCTACTGTATACCCAGTTCAATAAGTTTATTTTCCTATAAAATCTCTAGCTAATTAAATATGATTCTAATTTACATAGTGATGAGAAGTGAGCCATTTATAGTTTATGATTCATCATATATGAGAGGAAAGTGCCTAAAAGGGAACATTTAAAGAACAGAAGACACTGTTAGTAAAAGTGAAATAAATCTGGTAGGGCAACCTAAAACAACCCTTTTACCAATGATATATGAATATCCTATTCTGAAACTAAAAAACAACACATGCTTTACTTTGCCTTCCATTTATGCCCTGTCTGTCATTAATAAGAATGTTTCCAAGCATTACCCAATTAACAAGGAACAAGAATTTTCCATTATTATTTTTTCCAGCACAGACAAACTGTTGATTTTTAAAGCAAGTGTGCATTACCACAGACTGCAGTACATGACAAATGTACTCCAGCATCTGTCAGCTAACGGGGACTGAAGTGAAACACAGCAGAGCCATGATGCTACTAGCTACATTATGAGCAGTGCAGAAATCAACCCCACATATCGCTACAAACTCAAACAGACACAGCGAGTAAAAATACATTAAGCCATTTAGCGTGATAAACAATACAAGTGTAATTCACACATACTTACATTCCTCACGTAGAAAAATGTGTCCTAGCAGGCATGGCTTGCAGTACACTCACTTTTTGACAACATGAGCAACTCAAGGGCACATGTCATCGCATTTTAGTGTTTTGCGTCATCAGAACATGTTGTTAACGTCACTTTATGGCGCCGTTGTTGATGTTAGGGATGCTAAAGCTAACTGGCTGCACTCAATGTTTTTGTCTGACTCGTTCGTGTGGCATATAAACGAGATGAATTTTAGGTTTTGAGGCAGTGCCACCAGATTTTGCACATAGCATATTTAGTTTAGGTTTAGAGAGCAGAGGAGAGGAATACGAGAGCAGGGTGAGTGTTTTGCTAACGTATGTAAACTATTAAGACTGCTTGCTAGTTGTTAGCTCAACAGCCATTGATGTGTATAATTAATTATTTTTCGGCTTTAGTTTATATTGTTTATCAGTATATTTTTTTTATAACAGTAACGTTATCTGTGATTGTTTCTAAACGACAAATGGTTTGTAAAATATCATATTGACGTTATCATGTTCATACTTCATTTTAATTGGCATGGCTAATTTCACACCAAGAGACCTAAACTGTAACTGTTCTGCATGCATCGCGCTCTCAGAGGGTGATTATACGTTTGATATGAAATTAGAGTTTTATGGAAGTGTTCAGTTCAGTTATGTATATTTGAGCTGTTATGTGATATAACGTTAGGTATATAGATAGATGCACAGTCAGATAGATAGATTGATAGATATATAGATAGATAGACACAGATAGATAGATAGATATACACAGATAGATAGATAGATAGATAGATAGACAGACAGACAGACAGACAAACAGACACAGTCTGTTAGCTAGATAGACAGACAGACAGACAGTCAGATAGATAGATAGTTTGACTGATTGATTGATTGACAGTCAGATAGATAGGTAGATAATATATAGATAGAGACAGATAGATATATAGATAGACACAGTCAGATAGATAGATAGATAGATAGACACACACACACACACTTACCTGAACATGACTGAAATAGCTCTCTGACTTTCCTCAGGCCCCTAATGCAGTCTGCCTCGGAGACTGTGGAGAATGCCTCCATCCTGTCAGGTGGCTCGGCACAGGACGGTCATCGGCTCTGGATCGGCAACATTGACCCCAAAATCACAGAGTGAGTGTTTGCCTGCGCAGAAACCCAGTGCTGCACTGCCTCTGAGGCAGACCCGGGTGATTGATTAGCCGAGCGTGTCTTTGTGCTGGAGAATGAGCAGATGACGACAAGCCGTGTTAAAGAGAGCCGCTCGGCCGTGGAGACCTGTTTTGCTGAGGGGCTGCCATCATTTCTCATTCACCTGGCGTGTTTACTTTGTGAACCTGTAGCGGCTGCTCAAGGTGGAGAGGGGGTGGCCGGGTGACACGGAAGGGAAGCGCGAGAGAAATAGCACACGATGCGAGAGCGCCCCTGGAAAATGTACGGCTTGCCCGGGCTGGCGTCTAGACAGGCGTTTCCTTCCCTCTCGCTCCTCTGTTTTTCTTTAAATAACCTGCTTGAATGAAAACAGCCGTGATGCCCACAGGCTGGTGATTGGGAAGATTAATTAGTTCACATGCTGGGAGTGTTTGTAGTAGTGAGTTCCACTTCAGGGTCCTGCAGATGCTGCACACACACACACACACACAGTGGTGAAGTCCTGCTATGTGAGGTCAGCGTTCACCCAAAGGCAGTTTTTTCCTGGGGTTTCCAAGTAAGTGGATAATTGAGAGTAGTAGTTGAGTAGGGAGGTAGAAAGGTACTTTAGGTATTGCACTGTAGCAGCTGTGGAGGGATCACCAGAGAGATTTATGAAGAAACCGAGGAGATGAGGTAAAAGCTTTGAGGGATTCAGTGTGATGGATCAACTGGTTACAGCACAATAACCTTTTGGACAGTTTGGATTTGTTTACACCTGTTTATCAACCTTGTTTGGTGATCCGAACTCATTTTTGATGGCTGATACCAATTTCTTAGAGAGAAGGGTGGCTGTTATTTCAACATTTTAATTTAACTAACATGCATAACAATTGCTGCAATGACAATTAAATTTATTTTACATATTTACTAAATTAGAAATTGAATTGTAAAATGAATCAATATAAAAAGTTGAACTTTATGAATTTATGCTTTACTAACTTCTTGATTCTGTAATCATACTATGGTATTTTTCACAAATAAAGTAATATTTGAAACATAAATAAAAAGAAATTAACTAACCAACAGTCAGTAATCTGGTAACTTTGTGAGTACTGGAAAAATATTTTCTCAAATAAAGACCAGTTAATGCTAATTTTAGTACTCTAATAGAGTAAGCAAAAAGTTCCCGGATGACCTGCTTCCTCCGGGTGAGATTCTGAAGTGTGCGTACGATGGACACTTTACTATCCCATGAGGCCACAGGAGAGCATTTATGAATGACACTGAAGTGACATAACTGACACCGGTAGGTCACATGATGATAACAACATGGTGAATGTATCCAGATTACATTCATACAACACACATTCGTACTATATAGAAATTACTTTTTTAGTGGTCGTAAAGTAATTTCTCATTCAAAATAAGAACCTACCCAAGAGAGTATGTGATTTCGGACGCATCCACTAATTTAAAGGTCAGGCGCTGGCTTTCTTGTCACTGTCAAAATAAGAGTCTTGTTGTTGTCTAAATAAAAGCGGCTTCAGACAATTATAGGCGAAACAGAAAAACTTATCGGCCATTGCTGATAATTTAAAAATTATAAGTTTTAATAAGTAATAAGTATTAACAAGCGATTTTTATTTGTCATTACACTATGCCCTATATACTAGCGTTATATAGGCTAAACTGTTTGTAGAGATAAAACTATTTACATTCGATAATCATGAAAACAAATCTCAGATAACGGTTGACTAGGTAACAATGTGTAATTAGACCAAAGGTTCATTTTGCGCCGGAGTTCTCCTTTAATTATAATAAAAGTTATCTCACAATGCAAAAAATAATTTAGTGGCCTAAAATACAAGCTTTATGTCTTAAAGGTATTGTAGGTAGGATTTAAAAAAAAACTTTTTGCCAAATTTGTTTAAACTTTCTATATATATCAATGCATAATTAAAATGTAAGTACTCTGGAAAAGAGAGTATAAAAATCGAGTGTCTGTAGTCCTCTCAGGGCTGTAATAAACACAGCTACTTATCTCCATTCACTTCCACCCCCTCCATTCTGGGCTCCTTCCAAAACCACGCCCCCAAAACACATGAACGCGCGATGCCGACAGCTCACAGCTGGAGGACGCGCTTACCAGCGCCGAGCGGAGAGGAGCAGTGCATGTAGTGACATCATGTCAGACTCGCATGTAATAAAATACCTAACTTTATCATTATGAATATAAACAACTAACATGGCTGTTAGTACTCACTATCAAGCTAGCATATCGATACTGGTAAAGTTTAAAATATATTGAGTTTGATTCGTTAACGAGCTAGTAACATAAAGCAAAGCTAAAAACAGGTTGCATTGATACACGTTTTCCCATTACAATCAGTTACACTGTGATGAAGGTGAATTTCGTGTAAGATTCATAACATATACGCCGTGTTTTGCATGTAGTTGTGTCTCTTACTAGTCTCTTACCCTCCACCTCGAGTCAAACGAGTGCGCGCATGTGGGCAGCGCATGTAGCAGCGGGGGTGTTGCCATGGTTGCGAGAGAGTGACAGTCGCCTAAGCCAATCCTTTGTTTCGTCCCGGCAGGAAATAATGAGCTGTGTTTAGTGCAGATTAAACTGTCTAGAGTCACTCGATTTTTATACTCTTTTTATCAGAGTACTTACATTTTAATTATGCATTGATATATATAGAAAGTTTAAACAAATTTGGGAAAAAGTTTTTTAGACCAAAAACGACCTACCCTACCTTTAATGCAAAATATGTGTGAAATATGACATTTGTTGACAGTTTTTGTGAGATTTACCCAGTAGTTTTTGGCATTGAAAACAAAAACACAATACGAACACTCCATTTGTCTCTCTTATGTTATATGTAAAAGCAATTATCATCTGTCAGTTTTCTATAAAGTAGCAAGCTAAAGTAACATTTTGGAAAACATAGGAAAAATCAGCTGTGATGCTTAGATTCTGATGTAAGAGTAATTCATTTAAAAAACACTTATTTGTCACTCATTCCAGCTCGCCACTTTACAAACAGCCTTATTTATTTAATATGATTGATCTCAATACATCACCGTTTTGGAAAAGCCTGCGAAGTTCACATTTACAGTTCTGCAAGTAGTCACCAACAAATTTCAGTCGGACAAAAAAGAAAATCATTCTGTTCTTTCAGTGTAAACAGTCTCTTCTGAGTGCTAATCCATCTACCTTACTTGACTGTAAGTTTCACCATCATCATTACATTAATCACAAGCTGCAGCTAGATGGAAAATTACAGTTTCTGGACACATTTGAGCAGTTGCTCAATTCCTCTCGTTTCTTTTCCACTGAAATGTGTTATAAATGTATGATACTGATAGTCAGTGCTTGGGCACCATGACAAGTCACAGTGCTTAAATTGCACAAGTCTCATACTTTCCACCTGTTAAATCAGCCCTGCTCCAAATCTCTGTCTAGGGTGTGTCTCAATCCGCTAGTGAGCGAAGTCGATGTACACTTCCAGAGGAATCGGCCACTTCTAGAGCTGTCTCTTTCTCATAATCATTCTAAAACTGGAAACTTACTTATTAGTGTCCTGATATCAAGAATTCCCGATTATAGGGAACTGGGAAGTGATATGAGACTAGCCAATAACTGTATCTGTATTCGGATAAATCCGGAAGTGGGCGTGGCTTTAAATGGAAGTTTCTTGAAATGTAATTCTGTTCACTTCATAGTTTTTATTTAACATGTATGCCTCATATAGCTCATAAACCAATTTTGTTTAAATTATAATTATACAAATTGTTGAAATAATCTAGTGCCAAACAATAATACTAAATGTTAAATTGTTTTTTTTCCAGATGAACTGTGTGTACAGAGTAATGTCAGGATCATCCACAACCTCAAATAATCACTGTAACTTTAATCACTGGTGGAAGAGTGACCTTTGACCCGACGCATGACGTATTGATGAATGCGGAAGCGCAGAGGATAGAGCAAAACAAAACACCAGTCACGTATTAGAAGTCTAAAATGAGAATTTCGATATAAGAGAAGATGAGCTTGAGTTTGTTGCCCGGCCTTGTTTAGTTTGAACCGTGAGAGGCGTAACATTGCTGCCTATGGCTGGTTCAGAAACCCTCTCTTATTTCATCAAAAATATCTTATGGGTTTGGAACGACATGAGGGCGAGTAATTAATGACAGAAATTTCATTTTTGGGTGAACTAACCCTTTAAACCTGTAGTTTGAGTGACATTCCTATGGCAGGTGCTGAAGATTGATGACCCATAATAAGGGCAGTGATGACAACATTTCTGCGCATTTCCATCTAATGAAAACATCCGTCAACATTTACAGAGCTCCACCCCATCATGCATGCACAAACATACAAACTCTTTCTTTCAGGGTTCGTTTCCCACAGTTAAGGCCTGTAGTGTGGCGGACAAATTCACACAAAGCAGGGGCTGCTGTCGTAATAACAGGCTGACATATTGACCTGTCCATGCTCCACTGGGGCCCATTTAGGGCCGGTGATGGATCTACCATGTGCCGCAGGTTGTTTGTGCTTTTTGGAGCTCTGCTTTGCATTGTCCGTTATTACGGCAGCAAAGAACAGCAGGCCCTATCCGATGGGACGGCCTAGGAGGAAAACGGCATTGGCCTTAGACCACACCCTCCAATCATCTGAAATAGACACGTGTCTGTTGGAATCGCTCCTTGACCTTGATATCCATGCTGTTTTCTTGATTCTGCGCAGCGATACTGAAACGAGAGACGTTGCAGGTGGGTGGGCAGAGTTTCGACGACTTTGGCCCAAACAGATGACATGCTTGGCTTATGTCAACACTTTCACAAAATACTCCAAGCTCCTTAGACGGACCCCTTCTTCCTGCCCACAGCACATTTTATTGCCCTCTGGGGACGTGCATTGTGGTCTGAAAAAAAATCTGCAGGTTGTCTCTTTGAGTCGGGCCACTATCAACTCTTCAATCTGCAGCAAGTCAGGAAGATCCCGTGGCCCAAGCCTGAGAGGGTGGTGGCTGGGAAAGTGCGAAATACTACTTGGAGAAAAGCTCCTGGGAGAGGAGGGGAAAACATTAATACCGAAGCCGGGACCCCCAGTTCTATCTGCGTTCCTACCTTTCCAGGACTAAAAATAACCTCAACCAACTGAAACAACAAAGAAATCCCAGGCATCTCCTTGTCTCGGTTTAGGAGGCAACTCCCAGACCACTCTGGCTGTCATGCTAGAAGCTAGTAGTTCCACAAATGCATTGTTGTTTATCCTGAGCGCGTCTTTTGCACGTTCCTGACACTCAGTTGGGTAGCTTTCCCAGCCTTTGCTCAGCTGTAGGAAATGCTTGGATGCCTTCCTGAGTTGCATTACTGAATCTCTAGAATTTGGTTTAGGTGATGCCCGTGTGATGCCACATTCATCACGCTACGTCAAGATGAATAATTGGAGACAATGTCAACACTAGTGACAAGATAATTCATATTTACTAGAGCAGGATAGGCAACATCGATCCTGGAGTGCCGCTGTCCTGCAGAGTTTAGCTCCAACCCTGATATAAACTCGCCTGCCTTTAAAAGCATTAGTAATCCTGAAGACATTGATTAGCTTGCTCAGGTGTGTTTGATTAGGGTTGGAACTAAACTCTGCAGGACAGCGGCACTCCAGGATCGACGTTGCCTATCCCTGTACTAGAGTGTAAATGACAAGTAAGAGCAGCCAAGATAAAGACTTAGGCTGTGTCCGAAATCTCCACTCAAACCACTACTCCCTAACCCCTATGTAGGGGGTAGGGAGTAGAGCACTATATAGTGAGCTCACCAGCATAATAGAAACACCACTTTCGGACACTACTCGATCGTCTCTCGGCGCCGTTAAACGCGCCATCATCTGTCAGCTGGTGCCGAGCCAGCTCTGGGCTAAATAGATTTTTTTTTTTATAAATACATTACATTATATTGAGCTTATTTCTCCAAAATTGTAAAATTAAAAGTCATTTCTGTCCGTTTCTGTTATAATGCGTTACTCCACACATGATTATAACTTATAAACATAAATAAAATTAATACACATATTTCATATATTTTCATTTTCGCGCCACACAGTTTTCTCTTGCCTGTCGACATTAGGGAAAAAAAAACAGATCTACGTTATCAAATATCTTGCTCATAATACTCTTAATAAAACAGCTTTTAGACTCTGTGGAGATGCCACTCAATATTAATCTTTTTTGTTTGTTTGTTCTCGTGATTCAGAAGATTTTGCGGATTGGCAAAAGAAACAGGATTTCTAGACACAGAAAACGACGTGCTGTTCTTGCTACGCTAGCGAGACGTCGTCAAATTGTAAGTTAAAGATGAAGATGATGCTGATAGGTCTTTTACGATCAGCGCAATGCATGATGGTATGTAGGGCTTGGGTTAGTGACCATCGGTTGTACACTACTTTTCAAAATGCATTCTGGGATACATTGAGTGGACTATATAGGGTATAATAATCATCACTATACATTCGGACAGCACTACAAAATGGCGAGCTCACTATATAGTGAGTAGTGGGAGATTTCGGATACAGACTTACTGAACTTGACACAATATCGTGTGATATTATTTCCTGCCCCCCCCCCCCCCCCTCATGTTCCTGCACACTGGTTGCACCAAGGATTTAAAAATGTATAATATATCTATATTTTAAAAACTGCCTTTTAAAAAAAGAGGCAAAACTTAATGTTTTCTTTTTAAGAATTGCATCCTTTTAATGAGGCTTTTCTTCTTCACCCGGATATTTTTTAGGGCATAAAGTTAAAAAAAAAAACATTTTTTTAATGTGCTTTAGAATCAAATATTTGATCTTGACATAAAAATTATCATCATGTCATTGACTGTTGATATTGCGTTCTTTAAAAGTGGTTTTGCCAACATACTAAAAAAACATTGGGTGCAAATAGAGTTGTTCATGCAGCGTCAAGTCACATTAAACGTTAACGGTTTGGATGACGTACAGGTGAACATGCTGAAGCAAAGGTACTTGCAAATGTTCGGTCTTATGCTAGACTGCTCTTGAATGCTGTGGACATGGTTGTTTGAAGAGGCCTATTTATACTCTCTCTTTGTTTGAATAGCACAGGTTCAGCGTGAAGTTCTCTTGGAAAGAAATTCATTAATCCTGTTTTACAAGCTCTTTATACTTGTACTCATAGCTGCATCAAAAAATTGACCAGTTGCTTTTGAAAATTGACCAGTGTGATTACAGACGTGTTTATCTAGTGAAAGTCAATGGGGTCCAAAACACAAATTTAATCAGTAAGTGTTTTTTGGCAATAATAAGGTGCTTAAGGCGAACCGTAGTCATTTCCCATGTCTTCTATTGGCTATTACCGTACAGCAGGTTATAGAAGCTGCACTCGTCGTAATTGTTTGTCTTAAATTAAACTCCTGAGGGAATTCAGTCTTCCGCTTTTTTATATCCTCATTGTCCCCCTGCTGTATCCTTTGTATTGTGTGAATAAAAGATTTACGCCAGCTAAAAAGGTGTAAAGCGACCTGTCATTCTGATCAAGCCTTGCTTACAAAGAATTATGATTCCATGACATGCATTATTCCCTTGTGGCTTTAATAATGGTTATCACTCATTTTTTTATTCTCGGTCAGTACAGTTATTTGTGCCATTTGCTAAAGGAAGCGTCATGAATACAATTGCTCGTGAATCCATTGTCCTTGAAAATCTCATCGTGAGTGCTGAACTCCTATTCTTTGGAGGTATTTTGCAAAAGGCAAATGGACTTCAAAGTAAAAATACCTCACTCTGTGTTCCTGCAGGTACCACCTAGTGAAGCTCCTGGAGAAGTTTGGCAAAGTCAAGCAGTTTGACTTCCTGTTCCATAAATCAGGTCCTCTGGAGGGCCAGCCAAGAGGATACTGCTTCGTCAACTTCCACACCAAAGAGGTTCTTCTCGTTCTTCTTTACAACATCTAATTAACAACCCAAAATACCAAAGGAAGTGTCAGTTCTGATCTAGAAATGATATGCACGTTTTTAAGAGGCACCCAGACAGCTGATGAGATAAAGAGTGTAATATGAGGCAGTCCCAAGGGTGTTGTTGAAGGGGAAATGTGTGTTTATAGATCTCATTCACACCCTTCATGAGAGCTTGGAAAGCTAGTGATCCATCATCAGCCATTATTGTTCCCTATCATTACGCCATGCTTCCAGCAACAGCCGAAAGTAGCAAACAAACACACACACAGGAAGGTTTGGAATCCAGAGACTTCGGGAGAGGCGATCTTTGAGAGAGGGTTTCAAATGTAGATGGATGATCAGGAGGGAAATAGTGACGTGTATAGATGCATGCATGATTGTGATCATCATAAAAGCATAAAATGTGTTTTCTGTCCATCACAGGAGGCTGAACGGGCTATTCAGTGTCTGAATGGAAAATTGGCACTTTCTAAGAAGTTAGTGGTGCGTTGGGCTCATGCTCAGGTAAAGGTGAGTAAGTATCACAAATAGCAATTACTGTTTTACTAATTACTCGTAGGTTAGTGGTTTGTTAAAATCAATTTTCAAAGCGATCAGACTCTCGATTTTTGCCTGACAGATGATAAAAAAGGACAAAATCCAATAGACTTATATTGAAGGAAGGCCATATCTAGAAGCCAGAATATCATGGGCATTGTTCAGACTACAGATCTTTTGTTTTCTGACATTTGAATGACTGACGCTGATGTCTTAGAGAGCAGGGTGGATGATGTAAAGCGTGTAAATATACCACACTATTTCATTTAAATAAAGTAAATAACACTTAACATTGCTGAAATAAAATGAACATTCTTTAATATAATATTTGCTAAATTAGTTTGAGCTTTGTTTATTTGAGCTTGATTTAAAAAATAAATTGAAAATAAGATATAGATAGATGGTTATTTAGATAACTTCTTGATTCTGATTTGTAATCCTACTTTAGTATCTGTTTTTTTCACAAATAAATAAATTGTTAAAAATATTCACTTCCATTTAAAAGTTTAGTGAGAAGTTTAAAAGTTGAGTTATTCACTTCCATTTGAAAGTAAGACGTCCCTTATGCTCATTAAAGCTGCATTTATTTGATCAAAATACAGTAAAAATTACAATTCACAACTTTAAAAAAAAAAATTAATCGTAAAGCTGAATTTTCAGCATCATTACTCCAGTCTTCAGTCACATGATCCTTCAGAAATCATTCTGAAAATGCTGATTTGATGCACAAAAACATTTTACATTATTATTATAAATGTTGAAAAAGAAATAATTTTAAAAGAATCGTATTTTACAGCAGAAGACCTACATTACCATGATGCTGTACAGAAATATAATATGCATATTTTGCATTAAACTTAAAAACATATTGTTTATATATATATATAAACATTTGTACATGAAAATTTTATATTTCTCCGTAATTTTTAATTCGATAATGCTGTTGCAATGCTTCATGGGGTTGTAGTTTTTCCCTCACTAAAGCCGTTAAGTACAGTCTTTCGAAAACTTTTGTACTGTTGTGATTCACCTCGTAGCTGATATGTCTTGGTTCATGGCATAACTCTTTAACAAAGACTTTTTTTAATCCCTATGGGAAAAATGAATGAAAAAAATACTTCCGGAACCAGCACCGCTGACAAAAGGGGGCAGGAACTGTTGAACCCTATTGAACTTCGACGGTGGTTGATGACGTATGAGCACACAAGACACGAGATCGCTTAAGAACGCATATTCAGAAATGGCCTCAAATGATCTTTAGTCACTTTTGATCAATTTAATGTGTCCTTGCTGAACAACAGTGTTAATTACTTAGGGACTTTTGAAGTGTAGTGTATGAATAAAAAAGATAGTAAAAGGATGACTAACAGTACTCAGCACTGGAAGCGCATTTTTTCAAATAAATACCTTCCCACCAGTCATTTCTCATTTTGTGGTATTCCTTGCTTGACTGTGGTACTACACTGTGACAGCGGCAACAACCATAGCTCAGGCCAACGTTTCCCAGTTTTTTGTGTTCGAGTTTGAATACTGCACTCATGAAAAGCATAATTAATGGCACATCATCCATTGCTAAAGTCTCACGCATGGTGAACCTAAACAGGTTAGCATATAACGTGCAGTTGGAGCAGTCAGTCTAGAAAAGTGTGGACAGTTCTGCATGTGCACCACACTCACATTTTTTCATCAGAAAGCGTACATTTCTAGTCTGTACTGTAACTTCAGTCAATCCATGACATTCATTTATGCTTCTATAGTTGTTTTATGGAATATCAGGATGCTGCTACTTCAAAACAGTCCATAAAGATCATGCATCATCACACCTATAGTTAAGCTATAGAGAGGGGCTCCACAGGCTTCCCTGCTCCTTAACAATAGGCAGCTGCCGCTGGGAGTGAGGAAATCCTGTATGGTTGAGAATCCCGCCCCTCTGGCCCTCCCCGTCTGAGGGGAAAGGGACACCAGGCCGGGGTCAAGGTCAACAGTGCAGGGTTGTTGACAACAAGTAGCAGCAGGCAGCTCTGGTTCCAGGTCCCCCTGACCACTGCCCGATCTCACCCACAGGTCTCAGAGTGTGTGTGTGTGTGTGTGTGTGTGTGTGTGTGTGTGTGTGTGTGTGTGTGTGTGTGTGTGTGTGTGTGTGTGTATCAGCTGTGCGCTTCGAAGCCCCAGGGTTCACTGGAGCTGTCGAATCATGTGGTGTATATATGGTTTGCAGTTGTTTGGGTGGAGTGTAGCGATCGAAAGGAAAATAAACAAAAGGGAAATTTGTAACTTAATGTAATGTATAGATTCAGAAACAGACTGTAGAACATTGCTTTATGGTTTTCGGTATTTGAAAGATGTGATTTTACAAGAGAAGAAATCCAAGTTTACTTTGAATCATGTTCCATTATTCATTATTATTTTATTTCATTATTTTACACAAGATTTTTCTGCTAAAGTAACCAAGGCTGTGCCAGCAATAAAAAACATAATTTGTAAATTTTTTAGAAGAAACTATGCTTACCCGACCCGTGCAACCTTCTTGTGTACAGTCACGAATGGGAGGAGGACATGGATTACTCAAAAGACTATATATTCATTTATTTTTAAAAAAAAATTTTAAAGGAAAAATTATTATAATTGGTGTTTTTGCCCTGCTAACAAAGGTCATGCAAGTTCATCCTTTTTTTAACAAAAAAAAAAATGAAAAGCTAAAGAACATATGCAGTTTACAGTGTGTTGTTGTAAATAAAAATATTTTGTTGTTTAAAAAAAAATTGCATCTGAAAAAATATAAAGCTGAAATAAAGTACAGGAAATGTATGGTTATTCACAGCAGTTATTCAGTAAAAAATAAATGAATTAAACCTAAATTAATAAATTGTAAAAAGTGTTTAAAAAAAATACCTGTGCTCAGGTATTCCTACTTTCAAAGAGGGGTGATATTGATATATTTGATCATTTGGTCCCTAGATGTGGTCATTCAATGAAAGTCCCATGTTTTTTTCCACCTGTTTTATCGTCCACCGGGTCTGATTGCTTTGAAAAGTAATAGCACCGCTCAAAAGGAACATTTTAAACTATCATTTATTAAGCATGTACAGTAGTTACGTGCCAAAGTTTACTTTGGGACAGCAAGCACTTCTAATAATATCAAGATGAAGATCCAACAAATTGATCCCAACAGATCAAATTCCAATCCTTAAAAGAAATAAAAAGTCCCAGCCCACACCATTTGCCAGTTAATCAGGTTAACTTAATAAACGCGTCACATTTTGGAAGTTAAAGGCATTGCAAAAGCAATTTCACATTGTCCTTTTTTGTGCTTTAATACCGTGTGGAATCCAAAGATTTTTTGTTTGTTTTCATTTCAATAACTTCTAAATATGTGTCATCATCTCCAATTTGAAAGCATTTTCTAATCACTCTTTGTTTTTATTCCCCACAGATTCCCATGAGCTGCTATCATCCTCATGATCGCAAGGGTGGTTGGAGGGACATTTTTGAGTGGAATGAATGTTTATGACGTTGCGTAGCCCAACTTTTCGCACACTGTTCCATGAGAGCATAGGACTAATAAGCAGCCAGCTCTCTTTCTCTGCTCTCTAATGCAACCAAATGTGTTTAAATGAAACAACCCATTTTGTCTCAGTGTCTCGTGTACAAACTGTCTTATATCCATCCTGGTGTGTGTTTGTTGGCTTTCAGAAGTTCGAACCCTTCAGAGGAGACAAAAATGTGCCGGCCAGTTTAGATCCCTCGTCCAGCGAAGCAGAGGAGATGCCAACCACACTGAGGTTTGGGACATTACCTCTCAGCTTCCTTTCATTTTCCCTCTTTTTCCTTCAGATTCCCTCCTGTTTTTGTTTTTGTTCTCATCTACTCTTTCCAAATAGCCTCAAATTGACTTAAGTGACCCATTTGGACTGGATAAGAAGGTTTCCTTTTCTATTTCCTCTGCTGTTTAAAGTGTTAATGCAAAGATTCGTGCCATTGAAGCCAAGCTGCAGATGATGGAAGAAAACCCGGATGACTATTCCGGACCCTCTGCGTACATCTACAACAAGCCCCCCGATAACAGAGACAAGAGGTCCCAGCCCTACCGCAAGCAGTTTCGCAAATTCAGGAGATGACCTCTTCAACAACTGGCCAAGTGTCTCTTCACCCAACACGAACAGACTGAGAGATGTGCGCTGATGAGCTGTTCTTGTGTCTTGGCCAGCGTGAGACTGTGATACGTCATGAGAAGAGCGAGTCCAACACCTTTGATTTGTAGTGCTGTTCTGTTTCTCGGCCAGCGGAGGAGTATTTTTACTGAAAGACCGGCTGATAGAAGCAGAATCTAACCACAAAATTCTAGTGAATTTCGTTTTTTTGATATTGATATTACCCAACTAATTTCAGTTTAAAGGGATTTATCAGTCAAAAGATCAATATTTTGTCATCATTTACTCATTTATACTCACTCTCATATCAGTTCAAACCTGTAAGAGGATTTTTTTTGATAAATGACTGATTTTTTTTTTATAAAAATGAAAGTGAATGGGGTCCAATGTTGTTTGAACCCCAATATTCTTCAAAATATACTATTTTGTCGTACAGGTTTGAAACATCATGAGGGTTAATAAATCATGACAACTTTCATTTTTGGCTGAATTATCCCTTTAAGAGTTTTTGTACCTTTTCAATTTACATCCCTTCCTTGATATTCTTCCAGAATATAGTGTTTTTGTGTGTTTTTCTTAATCCACGAAGTAAACTGCCCCATGTGCTGCTTGCGAACGTTGTTGTGAGTCTTATGATCCAAAATCTACATACAAATCAGACTTTACCATTCTTTGTTACCCTGTTGGAGTCCTATATCAAGGAAGCACAATATTCTGCATTGTTTATTTAACTATTATATCTTGCATTTTTAAGTCTAAAGAGATAAGGGCTTTTATCACATGACCTGGAGTGGGGCACCACAACAGGACAGTTTGGTTCCAGTGTAAATATCCAGGTATTTTGATAGATTTCGCTTCTGTTGTGTTCAAAAATAAAAGAAATGGTCCTTGAGATGTTCAAACTGGATTCTTGTGCTTTCACTTAAAGTGGACGTGTGCGTATTTAAATTACAGTAAGATCTTGCTGTGTTGCTTTTGCGTTGATTTGAGCTGTCTGTAATGATCGATAATATAGTGGATTTTTTTCTATCACCGTTTTCTTAATACATTAATTAAACTGCGACCGTTTTCAATTACGAACAGGCCTAGTGAGTATATACTACGGTAGTTAATTTCTTGCCTTAAGTAGGATTCAATTAATTAAATGTCAATTTAACCCTAAAATATTTTGTTTTCTAAATTAAAACCGGGTTTGAATTCGAATTAACATGAGTTATTAGCGGTCTTTGCGAATTTAACCCAATAAAAGAGGTCTTTTAGTCTGCTTTTTGTTTTATTTGTTTATCATTTATTCTTAAATTACTGTGTTTATTTATTTTTCGACACTATAATTTTTCCTGCGTGATAAAATAAATCGGTCACATCGACTAACGAGCCAAGTTTCCGCCGTGTAATCTGTCGATTAATATGATGTTAAAGGGCGCGAGGTCACGTCAATATTATTCCTCTTTCATTCGAATACATTTCCAAACCAAGAACAATCAGTTCAAATACAAATGAAAGAGAGTAATAGTTGGGTTATGCATTCAACCTGAACGCTTTCCTTTACAATCTCTTAAGCCGCGTTTCCACCGCAGGAACTTTACCCAGGAACTAGGAACTTTGGCCTGGTACTCGGTGTGTTTACACCGCAGGAACCAGGGTCTAAATGAAGTTCCGGGTAGATATTTCCCCCTCCGAAAGTCCCTGCTCGCGAGGTAGTACTTTTTCAAAGTTCAGGAACTTTCGCGGGTGGGGCTTGTGCGCTGAACATGCTGATTGGTTGTGTTCACGCCGCATTATGATTGGATAACTCCGCGCAGCATTTTATTTTAACCGGAATTTTTAGAATCTATTGCAGTTCGTGGCTTCATGCAGTAATGAAGTTCCATGCAGTAAGAGTTGTCTGTCTGCAAATATGGAATTTAATAAAAATAAAAAAGGCAGCTGGACCGACGACGAGATTCAGGCTTTATTAAGCGTATTTGCGGAAGAGAAATTTTCTGCGCGTTCGTCCCAGCCTTCTCACGGTCAATGTCCGCAATAGCTGATAACATACGCTGTCTAATTTTAGATCTAACGTTAGCATTACGAGCTTTCTGAACACGCTTTAGTATCAGTGCTCGTCTCTTTTCTGCCGTTTTGTTAATTACCTGGTTAGTAAACCAATACATCTCAAACAACTGCAGCACAGTGTGAATCTCTTCCATATTTATTATAAATGTGGCGCTCAAAACTGATTACTGTCTTTTACAGTCTACTGTCCGTCACAAGCAAGCAATGAGCAGTCGCGCGCAGTTTACCCGGTACTTTAGACCGCGATGTAAACGCAGAAAGCTACCGGTCTGGGGCAAAAAAAGTTCCTGGGAAAAAAGTTCCTGGGACAAATTGTTCCGGGCAATTGCGGTGGAAACGCGGCTTTTCATGCAACCCTTCATTTTAACAATAAGCTGCAAACCTGAATATATCGAGTGATCTATTTCTAATGCAACTGTTGCAGAGAGAAAGCTCTACGCCGCTCTATCTGAATATCTGATGGTTATGTATTTTCCTCTCTGTTTCTCCCCACACAATAATAGCCTGTTTCAGATTAGGCAAAGGTTTTTTTTGTTGTTTTTTTATCTCGCATGCCCATTTTAAACCAATTCAAGGACAGATGCCATTGAATGCAATGTTTGAGATCGAGTCAGCTGTAGTAAAATATGGTGATTAGATTTTGTAAAGTTTGTTTTTTAAATATGCTTAACGATACATATCTAACTACATATCACTAACACTTTTGCTGCAATAGAAAAAGACAGATTAAGACACCCTATTGCTTGAGTGGACTTTTAAAATAAAAAAATAAAAACAATATTATAAATAAACAATTACGTTTGGACATTGCATTGCATTACGCGAATAGATGAACGGCATCAGAAAAAAAGTATTTTTTTAGTGTCACAAAAGCTTGCAATGCAACTATTATTCAATTAACAAATACAACCAAAATATTAATTTACAGCATTCTGGTGTTTAAAAAGAGAAAATGGTTCAAATAATGCTTTTAATTAGCCTACTTTTTAAAAGTAAGAATAATTCATTTTTGGTAGGTATATTTTATGTTCTATAAACTGGAAGATCATGCATATTTAATAGGTCAATTTATGAATCAAATGTATAGGCTAATATACAAAAAATCTTACAATTATTTTAAATTGAACAAACCTTTTTATTTTTTGTAATTAAATGTTAAATACACTCGATACCCATAACAGCCCAGTTAAATATTGACTTAGAAGCCCAGTATTGTTTTTTTTTATCGCTGATTTGTCAGACAATTAAAGCCCAAACTGCATCACAAAATGTCGCTCCACACTCAGGCCACATCTCTTCCCTCCCCTCTGATCTGTAAACTTTCAGAAGGTAGGCTGTGCTCTGACTGCCTATGAGGAGAGCAGGAGCAAAACCTGCCAGCCCCTCAATTTTCTCCACTTCCTGTACTCAAGCAACTGCATCCCAAAAGAGGGAAAAAGTAGGAAATATCCTGCAAACGGTTCTAAATAAGGCGTCCCGACGAACCGCTCGCGCTCGGCGCGTCTGCTCCCGGTTTACTGACTATCACGAATGTGAAGACTTCTTTTACACGGTTTTTCTTACTGATTATTGATCGTTATGGTCGTTATTGATTGACTATACGAGAGGAAACGGCGATTAGGGTTCAAATTAGACCGACTTTTACCGGACAGGGCGCATGGGATAAGGAATATTTAACAACAACAAAAAAATCCCGCTTGAAGCCATATCTAAAGAAGGTTAAACCGTCAAATGTATTGGAAAAATGAGGCTTTGGCCCCTCTATCAGAGGGAAATCAGTTTCTATCCGAAGGAATTCCCTCAAAACAGGTAAGACATTTACACTGTAGCCTAAAACATTATATGATCAATAAGTTATGACAACAAATGTTTTTGCATTGCTTTTACTCGTCAAAATAAGTTAAGAAATGTTCTACTTTTTTATAAGTTGTACAAGATTCAACTTAAGTCAGTTTAATGCAATTTAAGTTGAAATGACTTAAACATTCACGTTGATTGTACTTTAAAAAAATGAAGGCAGCAAATTTGTTTAATCTTATTCAAGTGCATGTGATAATGCAGTTATGTCTGTTGTTATCCGTCAAATTGCATGGAAAGAAAAGGGACTGTGTAGCATCATCTTCTGCAGCCTGCAACATCTTCACCTTAAAGTGATGTCATGAGAATCAGGATCTATTCTGAATAGTGTGATTTGCGGTCCATCCTCTTCACATGCCAAGTCTGCAGAGGAAAAATTAGATTTTAATTACTGCCATTAAAAATCAAATTTGCAATTCTTTGGGTGGCCCGTTGCTTTCTCTGATTGGCAGTTGAAATTGACACTCTGGGGTCCTCTTATCGCGAGCATTTCAAGCTATTTGTAATTGCAGGTAGTTTATTTTTTCAGCTCCCTGGATTGCGTGGAAATACGATTATGGGAAGAGGCACGGGTTAAGTGTGGGGAAAAAATCAATCCAAATTTAAATCGCTTCATTAAAACAGGGGCTTTTTGTCGCGAGGCTCTCAATGCACAGTTAAAAGCGGTTTTTATTGTTTTGGACGCATATATAGAGCAGGGAACATGCCTGACGTGGAGCACTGTGGCTTGCCTGTGTTGTAGGTGATCTCTCCAGACTCGCACAGCACACCGGGAGCCTCGCGCTGCGTGGACGCGCAACACGGACACGCGATGGTGAGCGCGCGGAGCGATCGTGCTCCTTTATTGGGTCTCTGCTAGATCGGTGCGTTGAGCTTTTGCAGAAAAAGGCCTTCAGATAGAATGCAAAAGTCTTTACTGATTTAATGCATTTTTGTGTGTTTGTGTGAGTGTGTTCTTGGATTATTTCAGTTTTGTAAACAACTTTTGCGCTTAGGAAAGCTTTTTAAATGCCAATCAATTCCCCCCATCGTCTTTATATCTATCATTTTATGTTTACACGAGCATTTTAGACTTTCCTACTCAATGAGTTTGAAAAGTTTCGATTTCCTTCATACTACTTCAGTTCGAATTGTCCGGAGAGGGTCAGCAAATCACTGCATGCTGACTTGATTTTTTTACGTTTTCAGGTTGAATTATTTTGCTCAGAATATTCCTGTCAACTAGCTAAATAAACATCATTCACGTGAGAGTGAGATATCTATTGCTCTATTTTCACTGGCAGTCACAGTCTGACGGAGAATCTCACAGATCTAATATGGAGAAAGAGGACACGCGCTCTTCGCCCAGTCCTCCGTCGACTCCGTCCATCTGCTCGCCCCCGTCCAGCGCCTCGTCCGTGCCGTCCACCGGGAAGAACGTGTGCGCGAGCTGCGGGCTCGAGATCCTCGACCGATATCTGCTCAAGGTACGGGCGCGTGACTGCGTGTGTGTGAGTGTGTGTGTGTGTCGTCTCGTGTGACGAGTCAACTGTTTTGATTTGAGTCTCTGACTGACTTTTGTAAAAACGTTTGCAAAAAACATTATGTAGGTTGAAATTATTTAGTAGGCTAAAAAATTGTTGCTTGCCTTCATTATTATTTTTAGATGACTGTCTAGCTTTGACCCTCATTATGATATGATATGATACACCGCTGCAAATTTAGTATCGAATATAGGCTATAAGCTACTTTACCATTACTTTAACATTTGTGATTTTCCGTAGGCTAATATTATGAAAACTGATTCTAACCCGAATTATGATAAAAACGCTTTAGTGAAAAATGGCTAGTCCTACAATGTGTGTGTGTGTTTTGTTTTTGTTGATAGGATCAAATTTATCACAAGCAGAAACGTTTATCATATTTCTGAACAATGCATTGTCTACTTTGATATAACAGATTGGTTAAAGTTTCTGTAATATCTGCCTATATTGTGTTTTAGTTGGGTCAGAGGAACATGTTAAAATAATATGAAGGGGGAAAGAGGTTAATTTGAAATAATAATAATAATAACAATAATTATTATTTTTATTATTACACATAGGCTAGCCTACATTATATATAAATAGGCTAGTAAAGTCAGTCTCAGCAAATCGTGAAGGTAAACATATTGCGAATATTTGTTTAATAGGCCTATGGATTTAGATTTTTCCTGCTATTTGCTGTTTTTTTTACGAATAATAGTTGGCTGCAAACATTTATAGCCTTGTTTTTTTTTGTAAAGATGTTGAGAGTATCGTCGCGTGCACGCGCTCTCGGCTGCTTGTTTTTCAGGAAGTGCGTGTGTTGCGCGCGAGGATCTTTAGAGCTCGATCTGTCTGCGTTTGTTTTGCTTTTTCTGTGGAAACTAATAAAACAACCCGTGTGAGTTTATTACAGTTTAGTCAGAATTAACCATCTTTATAGACGCCTTTTTAAGTTTTCCCCTTTCTCAGAGTGAAAATGCATCAAACAAGTTAAAAATGTAAAACCTTCAAACGCGCAAGCCTTACTTTCGTCTGAATTCTTCAATAAACATTTCAGTCTAAGATGCATCTCACTAATTTTTTATTTCAGATATCAGTAATCAAGTTTAAAATATCAGTAGCCTAATCACATGCACGGAATATGTTGCAGTTTTCATTAATATTAAATTGTTATTATCAAATTATTATTATTATACATTTTCTCGTGCACTTAAGGCTACTTAATTAGCGTGCATCTACGCTTTTATAATTAAACACTTTTATATACAACGCAATTCTAATACAGACATCATTACAAAAAAACAACAACAGAATCCTATTTTTAATCACAACTTTAATTATAAACGAAACATTTTATTTTGTAGCCTAACAGCTATTTATATGGCAGTGATTTTTGGGATTGTTCAAATAAGAAACGTGTTAGTTTCAACCTAATAATTTGAATGCACGTTGACATTTAATTTTTATAATACGATTTTTACGAAATGCAAAAAACACAAGACATCCACCGTGCATAAACGTAGCCTTTTTAAAGAAATATCATAATTTCATATATTTTAATTAGGCTATTATTAATAGGCTATTATGTTTATTATTATCACCATCATCCTTATTATATTTTGATGTTCGCTGTTGTGTTTATTGCAGGTTAATAATCTGATCTGGCACGTGAGGTGTCTGGAATGTTCCGTGTGCAGGACTTCACTACGTCAACACAACAGCTGCTACATTAAAAACAAGGAAATCTTCTGTAAAATGGATTATTTCAGGTAGGGTAAGTTTTTCACTTTCTGTCCTCAGAAATATCAGGTGTGCGCTTAAATGAAATACATGCGCAATATTTACGTATGGATGAAAATATGTTGCGTGAGTGTAGCGTGTTATGGTTAAAAGCTAAAAAAAAAAAAAAGATTTTATAAAAAAAAAACTAGCGATCAAATAGGCTACTTACCACAACAAATAGGCTGCGTGTATTTACACAAGACGCCGTTTGTAATTGATTTTAATTGTGATTAAGTCAGTGAAAAATACCTCATATAACATTATAATTATTCATGGCAATCGACTTATTAGAAATATTTCGTCTTTGTGGCTAATTTATGCATCTGTTAGAGATTCCATGCTTGTCTTGTTTAATAATGAAACAACAAAAAAACATTTTATTTGTGGTCAAAATAATGTTGTGGGTTATTGGAAGTCAATATCTTACAGCTGAAAACACTTCAATTGAAGTAAATAATATTTTTGACCAGTTAATTTAGATGTTATCACATGAAGCACATTTTGTGCAGTGTATACTTTTGGATTGTGGGAAGAAGAAAAAAAAAGGCCCACAATAGGAGATGATGCCAATAGTAATATAATGGCAGGTCTAAATAGAACTTGATTACTTGATCATTAGTTGGTTTACATTTGCCACTATTCCCTTGTATGCAATTGAATGGTGTGAGAAATCAAACCCAAGTTAAAGAATTGAAGATCTCAAAAGTATGGAGCTCTGGTTGAGATCCAGTAATGTGCTCGCGGGAAGGCATGGAGTGAGGGAGATCCGACAGGGAAGCTGTGAAATTGCATTGAGGGTGCAAGGGCTGTGATATGGCATGATTGCAGAGCACTCAGCGAGGCCTGTGAATGGCATGATGTTGGCCAGCCTTCCCTGCTTATTGCCCGTCGATGTGAATGACTGGCCCCTTTAAAGTCAATGCTGCAGGAGAGGGTTTGTTTTCTACGTTAAGGCCAATAATCTGAAGAGATGCTCCAGTGTCTTGATCTTCACTGAGCAACGGCGGTTCGGTCGAGTCTAGGGCGTCAGGATCTCTCAGGGCTAGAGCTGTTTACACACGAGAGATTTCAAGAGGAAAATTTGGCACGGAGGATGTATACGAAGGACATTTGAATGCATGCAAGAAAGCTTGCCACAAAGTAGATTTTTAGTGGATTAGAGCTTATTCGGGATGAAAGCATTTTCTAAAGATGACGAGTTCAGAAATGGGAGAAAAAGCTCACTGAGGACTGTTAAATGAAATAGACGGGGAGTTTTCAAAGTCTCAAGTGGTTTAATGTGTATTATTTTATTACTATTAGCATTGAATATCATAAATATGGTATAAGCAGGACGTCCCTTTACTTGGTGAATGGAGAAAAATTGTTAAAGAAATATAAAATATGGAAGAATTGACTTTTATTTTGAGACTCATTTCTAAAATACTGGAAATGAATTGATTACCGTATTAAGCAATCAATGACTAATGTATTCCCCCTGTTCTATTGTTTATTTTTGCTTGTTTGATTTTTTTTCCTGATTTCCCAAATGCTGTAGACATTTTCTTGTAATATCATCAATAAAAATAAAGTAAACAAAAATCATAAATATGCCAACTATATTCACGTTTCTTCGAATTGACCTTGAAAGTGTGATTTTCATGTGATTTGTAGAGGAAAAGATAAATAATTCACTTAAAATAAATGCACATTTCCAGATTTCCAGATATTTCAAATAGTAAAAAACCCCACATATTTTGTCAAACCACCTTAGATAATTTATGTGTTTTAGATAACATAATATTTTGAGTTTCTGTTGATTAAACCAATCTCCTTCATTGTATATCCTAAAATTTTGAATTTCAATAAACTCAAATTAGGCACCAGGTTACTTACTTTTTTTTTCTCAGCTAAACCAACAATATTTTTATACAGTGATACATTGCCCTCAAACAGTATTTTAATTTTATTTAGTTTTCGTACAGTTTTGTATGTCAAACCACCAACCACAGAGGTTTATGTTGGTCTCTGCATAACAAAGTACAGCCTCAGCTTTTTCGCCTACGGTAATTATGCAAGTTAATCAGGATGGTGTACACGTTTATATTTCTAACATGGATTCACAGGAACCCGGCAGAACAATAGTGACCGACTCTGTAACGTATTCATGTTTGCCTTGTAAAAGAGACAGTAATAGCTCCATGCTTGTGGAGTGAAGTTCAGTGATCTGAAGTGTTTTTCTCCGGTGCCACTGAAACATCCCTCTTGTCGAGTCCTCATGCTTTTGCTATGCCTATATCAGCGCTTTTCACCTTTTTTTTTGTCTGTTTGAGCCTTTGTACCCAATTGTATCTTTCCCATAAAGAGTTCGAGATCATAACCTAGCAGTTATAGTATAAAGTAGCATTTGACATGCTTGAAACAAATTCTGTGCTTTTACCTCCATATATATATGGAAATAAATTTCCTGCAGTATGTTGTTTTAAGGTTAGATGTCGTGCACTGGCCCTGCAGTCAAATTGCACTATGAATCAGTTTGATGCTCAACATTCTGATGCTCGGATGTTTGGCTGCAGTGACGTCGAGAGTTGTGTGTACCTGTGTTTGTTCTTTGGCAGCTGGATTGTTTCGCAGGACCGCCATCATATGCTTGAAAGGAAAAGGATCTCCATTGATTTCTTGCAAGGAAGGAAAACAAAACACAAGGAGATATGTTTCATTTGTGTTAGTCTCTCATCTGGGCCAGATTGACAGCTGCTCTAATAGAGTGTAATTACAGGAAATCAAAGTGGGTTTGCTCCGTGTGCCGTGGACGGGACGAGGGGGGGAGAGGTAGATTTGGCGGTAAGGGTCAGAGCGGAGACTGTACCTACACTAAAGAGAAACAGCCACAAAGGCACGAGCATCAGGCCACACAGGAAGTCAGAGGAGGCTGTTAATCAGAGGAACCAAAGGATAAGGACAGGGTGATGGAGTAAGGCGTAACCCGAGTGGGTTTGGATCGGTAGATTTGGAGGAGGTGACGTACTGTAATGGCCATATGCACGTGCAAGACTCCTTGTGTTTAAATGCTAACAGAAGTAAACAGAGCTTGTGTAACTCAACTTGGTGGAGAATGCGGGCAAATTAAATGAGTGACTGAAATTATAATGACAAAATGAAATGTTTTTTTTAGGTTAAGAGAGACAATATACCAAAATATAGGCTCCAACAAAGAGTTACCAACCAAAGTCCAATGCTGTGACTGCAAAAGTATAGTTAGTAGTGTGTAGTTTGAATAAAGTTTGCACGTACCATGTTGTCATCGTCATGTGATCTACGGCGTCAGTTGCATTCACAAATGCTCTCCCGTGGCCTCATGGGATAGTAAAGTGTCCATCATGGGCGCTTCCGAATCTCGCCGGAAGAAGTAGGTGATCCGGGTACTTTTCACCTACCGTTTTTTTCGAATACTAAAATGATATCGTCAATAAGTTATAACAACATGTTTTTACATTGCTTCAGCTCATCAAAATAAGTTATCAACTTTTTTTATTCGTTATACAAGATTCAACTCATTTTTTAAAGTCAGTTTAAAGTAATTTAAGTTGAAATGACTTACACATCCAAGTTGATTGTACTTAAAAATATAAGGCAGCAATTTTTTGTACAAATTTGGAAATACTACTCCTTTGCCTTTTTGTTTAATATGTATTATGGAAGTAGGCATATTTGATCAGCGTCAGTCTTATTCTGGTCTCTAGATGTGATTGAGTCACTCCTTTGACATATGACTATTTTTCTCGGACAATCGCCAGGAACCACCAATCCGATCACTAAGGAATGGAAAAGCACACCTCAACAAGTAGCAAGATTTGCAGTATCATGTATGGTCGTAGCACAAACAGTGGGGTGGGATGAGTTACACACCAAATTTAATACTCATGGTTCAGGGTTTGGAAAAACCACCACAAGAGCAATAGTAGTAGCCATGCTTGCCGTAGCAAACGTCACTGATAAGTCTCATCAGTCTCTGAGAGGGAGATTTACCCCCAGATTATAATACTCCAAGAGTATATCGCATTTAATCAACCGAATTTGTACTTCCACAAGCTTCTCTTTTCCAGCCAAAGGTGAATTTCTTGGGGAACTGAGGGAAACGCTTTGCGGCTGCAGGAATATTCCCCCGGCGAGTTATGATATGCAGCAGGACAGAAATAAATCCAGTATAAGCACAACAACGCACAATCAGACGTGCGGCAGATCTGAACAAAAATGAAACCCCCTTAAGATCTTTATGGCTTCTCTGAGAGGTTTTGCGGTAAATGAACTGCCATGACAGATTACGGCTCCGTTCCACAATGTTTCTCCTCTAAACACACGTCTGAAATGCATCATTACTCAATCTTTGTATTCTTTGTCTGGAACGATGCTGTCAGAGGATGGTGTGCAGTGTACACAAAAACCCCTTCGCATGCTTTTTTGCAGGCATTAATACGCGAGGCGTGTTTTATGTATCGATACTTTGCACGTAAGTGGACTGTAAATAATTTTTGATTCAGGTTTGTTTTTGCTTCTTGGCTCATCCTGGTGAATTGCTGATTGGCAAATGATACATGCACACAAGTTTAGTTTCTGGTTTGTTGAGCCCCATGGGGCTCCCTGGTTGGGCTCTGATGTCATTTCCAGTGGATGAACCCCCCGAGGGGCCGGTGTCATCATTCTTCAGTAGCGTATACGAGGGAAACATGGCTATCTTGATATCCCGTGTTTCTTTGCAGTCTGAGGAGGTTGTGTATGACACTTTGTTTACACAAGAGCTCCCAATGACAGAGGTGTGGTGGTGGTGGAGGAAAGGGGAGGGGGGCTCAGATTCAGGCCAAAAAAGGGCCGTGACTGGCCATCTGCAGAGCATTAGTCTCTCCCAGTCCTCTCAACACTGGAACCCTCTTTGGTCACCCGAATGTGATGTCTGGGTCAAAAACACACGGCATGGTCAGCCCCGTCCAGTCAAAATAACACTTCATTATAGCAGGCTGTGTGTATTTGCTGTTGGTTTGTATCGCCGCAGGCTTGTTCTGTTGATCACAGAAGAGGTGCTTTAAGCAACAACACGGCCATATGGCTGCTGAAAATGCAGGGCGTAATTAAATATGGAATGTGCGATATTTACAAATCGCAGTTGGCCGAGAATGCAATGATTAACATGTAACGTCAGCAGTAACATTAATAACATGTAAACGCCATTTCTGCACTAGAGAATCAACACATAACAGTGTATTATATAATTAGAACTAAATGTAAATATACAGATGCAAGAAAGAAAAGACCAATTACTATGTGATATGCAAAGCATTGCAAAAAAGAACCAAATTTCGATGACATGTCGGCTTCAGGGAGAATGGGAGATATTCTGGCAATGATAGAATGAATAAACGAATGAATAAATACGTTTAAAAAAACACCCAAGACTGAAATGATCTGAAAAAAGTTTAAATTCTGTGTGTACATTTAAGCGGTTTGAGATTAATATATTGCAGAATATCTTTGATAATCACTAACCTGTAAAATAAACTGAAATTACATTTTATATATATATACATACACAATACATGTGTATATATATATATATATATATTGTTTATTTAATTTAAGAACATTTTTGACAATTACTATCCTGTACATTCAACTGAAAACACATATTATATATTAATATATAATAATAATTATATTATAAACGAATTATATATATTTTAAATGAATAAAACAATGTTATATTTGGATATGTGAATGAATACATTATATTTGAATTCCTTCGCACACAAAAAAAGTGGAGGTGGTTTAAAAATAGATGTCTTACATGCATTACACACCTTGTTGGATAAAATCAAGAGTTTATGGATCCTATCAGCACAGTTTATCAGCAGACATTTCCTGCCGACCCGCTGCTCAGAGAATTACTAGTGGTTTGTTTGAGCTGAGAGTTTTACAGCCGTGTCTGACACGTTTAGTGGTTATCTTTTGGACACGGTTCAGCCTATCTGTACTCTGTCTTATTCTGGCGAGAGCTTTCTGTGGAGAGAAAAGATACCTGCTGAACTGTTAAACTGAAATGCATGTTACAACATTACACTATGAATTCAAAACAACAAGCGTCGTTTACACAGAAAATGCTTCTGTTATTATACTAGGGTTTGGGTTGTAATGATAAGCACATGTATTGTATTGTTTATGGAATGAGTATATTGATGCCCAAGCCCTTCTCTGTCTCACAGTAGGTTTGGTACAAAGTGTGCCCGCTGTGGCCGGCAGATCTACGCCAGCGACTGGGTCCGGCGAGCCAGGGGCAATGCCTACCATCTGGCCTGCTTCGCCTGCTTCTCCTGCAAACGCCAGCTGTCCACAGGCGAGGAGTTCGGGCTGGTGGAGGAGAAAGTACTGTGTCGGATCCATTACGACACAATGGTGGAGAACCTGAAACGGGCCGCTGAGAGTGGTGCGTGTGTTTCGGATGCGTTACACTTTAAGTCTCATTGATCTAAAAAAAGATTTCCTAACCACCTTTTCCCGGGTTTTCGCGCAGGAAGCGGACTCACTCTGGAGGGGGCGGTGCCGTCGGAACAGGATAGTCAACCGAAACCGGCCAAAAGGGCACGGACGTCCTTCACTGCGGAACAACTGCAGGTAAGATTATCAAACACACAGTGGCATGTGGATGTCTGAGATGAGGAAGCAAAGCGCCCTTTCTGGTTTTGCTTTTGTCTAATATGAATATTTCACAATATTACTGTTTTTACTGGGTTTTTTTGTCAAATGAATTGGTGAGCATCTTTCAAAAACATTAAAAAAAACTATAACTGGTAGTAAATATATATATATATATATAGTACTGATTTTTATTTGTATAATATTTTTTAACTATATTTGAATTTTTTTATGTACATTGTCATTTTAATATAGTAAACCCTAGTAAACGACCTAATGTTAATTTGACGCTTGTTTCATGCACAGGTAATGCAGGCACAGTTTGCACAGGACAACAACCCTGACGCACAGACCCTGCAGAAGTTGGCAGACATGACAGGATTGAGTAGACGAGTCATACAGGTGATGAAACTCACTTATAGTCCCATTTAATGTTTAATCCGTTTAAATTCAGTAAATAGAGAACAGCTTGCCTTGACAATTGATTGTATTTTCATAGGTTTGGTTTCAAAACTGCAGAGCGAGACATAAAAAGCACACTCCACAGCACGGCGGCCCACCTCAAGCTCACCCGCAGGCCCGCATGCCCCCCTCACTGCCCGACGAGCTGCATTACTCCCCTTTCGGCAGTCCTGAGAGAGCGCGCATGGTGGCCCTGCACGGGTACATCGAAAGTGAGTGTTTCCTCCAGCACTGCTGTCATTAAAGCAGAAGAAAATAAATAAATAATATATATATGGTTGTGTGTGTGTATACAAATAAACACACACACAAATATATTCTCAAACTTTTATGTTGGATGCGATTAATCGATTTGACAGCACTTATGTTTTTTTTTATGTTTTAGAAATAAGTATTTTCTGCTCACCAATGCTGCATTTGATTAAAAATAGGAAAAAAACACTTTAAAATAACTTTTCTATTGAAATATATTTTAAATTTGTAATTTATTCCTGTGATCAAAGCTCAGTTTTCAGCATTATTACTCCAGTCTTCAGTGTCACATGATCCTTCAGAAATCATTCAAATATGATGATTTGATGCTCAATTATTGCCAATTCTTATTGTTGCTCAATTATTAATAATGGTTCTTATTATTATCAATTTTGAAAACAGTTTTTGCTGCTTAACATTATTGTGGAATTCACGATAAATGTTTTCATGATTCTTTGATGAATAGAAAGTTCAAAAGAACAGCATTTATTTGAAATAGAAGTCTTGTGTAACATCATAAATGTCTTTACTGTCACTTTTGATCAATTTAACGTGCGTTTGCTGAAAAGTATTATTTTTTAAAGAAAAGAATCTTAACCCAAACTTTCAACTGGTAATGAATCTCAGTTTCCATAAAAATATTAATAGAACAACTGTTTTCAAAATTGATGATAGTCAGAAATGTCTCTTGAGCATCAAATCACAGACTGATTTCTGAAGGATCATGTGACACTGAAGACTGGAGTAATGATGCTGAAAATTCAGCTTAGCCATCACAGGAATAAATTCCATTTGAAAATATATAACAATAGAAAACAGTTTGTAATAATATTTTCACAATATTACTGTTTTACTGTATTTTGAATCGAATAAATGCAGCCTCGGTGAGCATGAAACCCTTTCATTCAAAAACATAAAAAAATCATACCTTTTGACTAGTATAATATATTTTGGTAGCTAAATTGGTATCTTTTATAACTAGTGTGTTCTCTGACCTGAAGATACTATAGATAGAGATTAACATTAGCATCTGTTTATTTTGTTTTGGTTGGGCAGGTCATCCGTTCTCGGTGCTCACTTCACAGAGCCTCCCTCATCAGGCCATGACGCTGCCGCAGCTCCCTCTCAGCCGCTAGCGCTCGCACTGACCCCCGACCCCTTCACCCTGACCTTGCAATCACTCCTGCGCCGACCCCACAGGCTGAAGGAGAAGGTCACGGTACCACTTGCTCTTGACCTCTGAACTCGCAAGGAGAGAGACTGCTTCCTCTCTGGTTTCGCCGGACGGGATTTTACTCGCTTGCATCTAGTCGCGGATGGTTAAGGGAAACCTGTGAATTTAGGACTTGCATCACCGAGACCAGGATCTGGACTTCTGGACACAAGAAAGAAAAGAAAAAAGACTCGAGCACACACTGTAACAGACTAGCGCTCTTGGTTCGCCCCTTCTCCCGATAGTCTCGTCTGACTCTTGTTCAGCGATTGGAGACTCTGAATGCAAACTGAAGGAATGTAAAGTTACCAGGATCAGTGTTAAACATTTAGGTTGAAAAAGGGAAAAGCACAAGAGATGTGGATGGGAAATAAGTGGCATAGGACCAGGTGGTAAGACCTATTTTCTCTCTTTTTCCTCACCGAAACACGCCACGATTGAACGTGGAAGTTGTACAAAGCAAGTGAAACGAATTGACGCTACTTAAAAAACTTAAGTTCACTTCACTTTCACTTGCTGTCTTGTTCTTACACCCATATGCAAAGCATCCGTGTTTTCTGGGGCCTAAAAAGGCCAGCAGGGTTGATTGTTCCACAGATTTCATTTAAAAAAATAATAAAATTGTTCTTAAATTTTAAGTCCATCACTTAATTGTATAAATAACTGCCGACATCTTGTTTTGAGAGGAGATCGTTTGTTAGAAACTGATTGTTAGATCCAAGTGACACGTTAAATAATCATTTCTAGTCTAAGGTTGAATTTTTTAAAGGCCCTGAGGATGTCTTAACCTTCCCTAATTTTATTATTTTCACAAATGCATTGCAATAACTGTTGTCCTACCAGTTTACTGCAACCATAAACTACAAATAATGTTGATCTTACTGTGAGATTATTTCAAATTGAAAACAGTGCTCTCAACAATTGTATTAAAAAGAGAGGAAGAAAATATCAAACATGAGGATCAAGACAGGATTGTCAATGACAAACAACACTATTTTGTGCAAAAGATGGAAAGGAAGAGGATCGACCGAGACTAAAAAGAGCACTTGAGTGAAATGTAAAGACAGCTACATGTAAAGAAAATGTACATGTAATGTATTTTTATTTAAGCAGTGTCCTGAGACGAATGTGTCTGTGTTTCATTGTTTTCTTCATACATGTGTGCCGTATATGCCTCAGCTGTGACCAGAGAGCAGGAGTGTTGGGTGTACAGCTCTGAAACCGGGGGGAAAGTCTGAAATTGTAACTTAAATTTGAGAAATACATTTTCTTGTGTTCTGAATGAGGGACAAGGCCTCTACATTCTTGTATTTATTATGACAGGTAGCCTGTAAGCACTTTCCCCCACTTCCACATGTCTGTTTTGTAAAACAAATAAAATAATGAACTATTTCTATGGCTGTGCATCATAAATGTTTTTCTTTTAAATACATTTAATTAATTTATAACCTGAAAAAATAACAGAATTTGCTCTTGTTAATTAGATTACTAGATTTTCCTCAGAACTTACCTTGCCTATCTATTCTATATATAACATTTTCATGAAATCTATCGATTCTCTCTCTCTCTCTCTCTCTCTCTCTCTCTCTCTCTCTCTCTCTCTCTATATATATATATATATATATTATGACATTTGAGGCATTTTTTACTTTAAAACGAGGAGAAACATTAGACAGTGTAAAATTAATTTACATTTTCAATAGAACATCTGTTGTATTAAAATACAATACCACATTTTCTTGAATGATAAAACATTGTTTTTTTACTCTGTATATATATATATATATATATATATATATATATATATATATATATATATGGAGAGAGAGAGAGAGAGTACATTTTTAAGTACAATCAGCTTGGATGTTTTACATCATTTTAACTTAAATTACATTAAACTGACTTAAAAAATGAGTTGAATCTTCTATAACGTATAAAAAAAGTTTAACTTATTTTGATGAGTTAAAGCAAGGTAAAAACATATGTTGTCATAATTTATAGATCATAAATGTTTTTACGATAGATAGATTTCTTTTATTCAAGACCATGGCATTACCATCGGTTCCAGGCACAGTATTTTGTCATAAAACACTCTTTTACAACATGAAATGCAGATTTAATATTTGACTGCTACAAGTGATTATTATGACAGGTTAGGATATTATGAAATATTACAGATCATTTATATATATATATATATGGAATATATCTGGATGGTTTTTGTCACTTTCAGAGAGGTTTTTTTGTTGTTGCCCAGAGCCCTGGTTAATTTCTGACTGTGGTATAGACGCATGTGCCGGTGTGTGTGCACGAGTGTAGCAGGAAGCAATCACAGGCTGATGGAGGAGCTGGCAGACCCTTCACGGGTCAGTGTGTGCAGTAATGACTCCATCACTGATTCCATCAGCATCACACACAGGAATTCCCTGTCAGGCCCACATCACAGGATTGAGCTGCTCGCATATCCCGTGTTCTCTTTCAAAAGACACACTGAGACATAATCTTTGACTAACCTATCTTCTCTGTGCTCAAGCACACACACTTTCTTAAGTGCAGAAAACTTTACATCTCATTTATTTCAAGCTGAGCAAGAGGACTCATTTACGTCAGTAGAAGTATTCAGCTGTTGAATGTTAGTGATCATTTACTTGGACAGAATACAGCAATGATGTAACATTTCTTAATTGAGTTTGCACCCAAACCCCACTATTATCTTGGCAAACATGATTTTGTCTTTAAAATAAGCTGTATGGAATGGCCTTTAAAACCTAAACTCACTAAATTATATTCTTCTGATTTGATTATTTCGTAGTTTGTTACAGAGCTGTTCAGTTGAGATATTTTTTTCTGATTGGACACTTTCACTTCTCATCAAAGTACAAAACACTTTAAACAATAATGCTAATTGTGTAATAAATGTAAAACATTTTTCTTTTTAAGTTGCTCAAAAACAGTTGATTTGTATATGGGCTACATTAGATATGCTCATCACTTAATGCAAACTCATGTTTTATTTTTCCATTAAGCATTCATTAATCCATAATACATAAAGTCTGATTTCTGTGGGTTGCAATTTAACAGTTGTTAGTATAGTGATAATCACTATTAAAAAAAAAAAAATTTAATAATTTTTTTTAACTCTTCGGAAAGGATTAACAGGATTGAAGAAATAAACAAATGAATGTAACAAAGCTGCATTAATGTTCAGATGACATCCGTATGAACAGTGTGTGTGTTCTCACTTCTCCTCTAGTGTGCTGCTTCTTGGATAGTGGCCAATGAACTCATCCCAGCTCTTCCTGCATGTCCGCACAATCCACTCGTGTTCTTGGTCATCTATAAGGGCAGATAATACATATTTCACTCATTCTGATAAGAAAAAAAAAATGCTTTCTAGATGTATAATAAAAGCATGAAGTCTGCATGCGCATAGCATAGTCTAGGCCTACTTGTAGAAATGAAATAGCTTACGTGGTGTTTTTTTTCTTTTTCTGATTGTTTGGTCAAAAATCGAGCTCCAAAAGGCATGTGTCAAACTCATTCATATGCGGTTAAAGGCAATTTACATTTTTTACGTGCAGGATTAAGACAACAATTATGAAAATTCGCTCTCAGCAGCCTACTTCACGCGACAATCAATCACTCTCTTTTTTCATTCCCTTCCCAGAGATGATTCCACAACCAAAAACAGTGGATAATATACTGCTTTTTTAAATGGTTAAAACTGAAAGGAGTTGTTAATTGCGGAGCGCGAGGTAGTTCTGCTGCTGGTGCTGAATGTGAGCGCGCAGCTGCACGCACTTGAGCGCTCACCCCCATGAACGTGGCGAACTGGGCCCATTGTTGAGAACAGGTCTTAAGCTCTCCTCTGATTGTCGATAATTGCACGCGATGGTCCTAAACGGCCTCTCCACGCGCCTCCCGCCACTTCTACCTGGTTCCCGCGCGCAGCAATTGAGACTTTTCCAGCACGCGACCGGTCCATTCTGCGACAGCTGCATGCTAACGTCTCACTGTATTCACTCGCTCCAACCTCACGCTCTCCACATGGAGGTCACACTCGAGAGGAACATTTCATCACTATTTTAAACCAATTAATACCTCCGTGGACGCTTCAACCAATGGCTGATGGACAAGGTCGGTCTACAATTACATTTCGGTAAATGCTCCGAGTTCTCGCGGTTATTTGCACGAAATTAGCACCTCAGTCCTTATTGTTTGCCTGGCATTCATACACTTGCTAAATTCATAGGCTAATACAATCCCATTTCAGAGCAGACGTGTCACTCACATCAAATCTAGTGCAAATAAATTCTCCCCCGTATCAGTTGTCGAGGGCTTGAAAATAGTTACTTTTGACATGAGATTTACATGACAATAGTGCTTCAAATTGAACTGCGTAACAGGTAGCCAGTCCATAGCGTAGACGCCAAGCTTACAAAAGCAAAGTGATTATAATATAGGCTATACATCAGTGTGAATAGTTGTAAACAAGCACAACGAAATGTATTTAGGCCTAAATATTGTTCCTGCTGGAAAATGTGTTATCTTTAAACAAGCCACAAGTCGCTCTCTTCCATAAAAAAGAAAATTAGTAAGTTATATAGCCATTTGTTTAGGTTCCCACGGTCATGAAAAAATCCCAGGTCATTTTACAATTGTTTTTCTTTTTCATGTAGGCTTTTGTTCTTTAAAATATTTTTGAGTAGCCTCTTTGAGTGCAATCTCTATAAAATGATTAAAAATGTAAAAAAGTCCAGTAACCACAAATGACTGGAATAGTCATTCATTCATAGCATAGGTCATTCACAATTGCACATTCATTGTGGGAACACTGTTTAAAGAACTGTCTAAGCCCTCATACTTCCTAAAACTTTGCTGAAATTCATCTCCTTGAATTTCCGTAACCCATATAACCATCTATTTGTTTTCATTACTAATGTTTAGTTTCTTTTTCTTGGCTTTTTTAATTCTGATTTTCCCCCTTATCAATTTATTCCTTTTTTGCCCTTGTCTTTCTTGTTTATGTGGTAGTATAATTTATTTTTTTATTATAAATGGGAAAGTACAATCATTTGGCTTTTTTTACTTTCCCAACATGTGCTTTTTTTCTTACATTTATTTTAGCTACATGCCTGTATTTTGTGCATAACACAATGACAGTTTCCTCCTCACTTTATTCGAGCCTCCTTTCCACATGTTCACGTTGAGCCCTCATTCAGGTGGTCTAATGAATATGACACACATTCCACGATCAAAGCCCAGGAGTCAGAAAGGAAGCAGTAATGGTACCTTGTTAGGAGGTGTTTATCTTAATCCCTAAAATATAATCAAAAGGAAAAGTGTTTCCTTCCAAACAGAGCCGCACTTTTCATTAATGGATTTAGGATCTCTGATTATCGCCTGAGATTATTCCAAGGCTCGAGGAGCTGTGTATTCCCACCAGGTGGATGATCATCTCCTGACAAGGTTTGATGTTACCTAAAAAAAAGTGACTATGGGCTCAGGCCTTGGCTGCTTTCATTGGCGGTGGGATTTTTAAATGTGAACCTCAAGCAATTATCACAGAAGCAGGAAACCACTGCAACCGTATGGCAGTAAAGCTTCTGGCTCAAGTGAAGTTTTGTCTTAGGAACAGACGCTAAAGTAAGACAAAAGACAATAGTAGTATTGTTTAAAAAGCATTATCACACTCAAATCCCCAAATATTTAATAGGATAGAGCAACATATTTGCTAAGCCAAGAATTACTATTATTGTTTCTATTTTACTGTTGTTTGTTCTAAATCTGTTATGCTAACTATTCAGAACTTAACTTGTCCTGCTCCAGACGTGAATGATAAGAATCCACCCCCAAATTTCTACAATATTCTTGTCTCTGGATAAGGCTCAGATCTGTTGTTCAGTGCAAGTCAATGGGAGTTTTTGCTGTTTATTGTCTGCCAGGCATTTAAAAAAAAAATCTTGTTATCATGTGAGGGATATGATAACAATTAAATTGTTTTGCCTGGCAGACAATAAGAAGCTACAAATTCTGATAGACTTACACTGAACAAGGGATCTGAGTCATATCTAGAGACAAGAATATTATTGAAATTTATTGAATATTGATGATACCAAAATATCATCCTTAGCAACCCCCTGGCAACCAGCCAGGGTGGAGTTCTGCATGGGCAAGCACCACTCAGAAAACTACAAGTCACTTTTGCAAAGTTTATTTTCATAGTACTAAAAGTAACGTAGGTTTCTACAAGAGTGGTGATAAATGGCAAAATATGGTCTATATATTAGTATGTCTTGACAGGTCAATCAAATTTAATTACTGTAAATGGAGTGTATCAACCCCCTTGCTCATTTACACACAGTGTTATTAAAGCTGGTTGTAAACAGGATTTCCAGTCCCAACGTAAACCAAACGCCTGCCTTCTACTGCCTGGTTGGCTTCAGGTTTACTGCAACATAGAAACCCTATAGTCCCTAAAGCCTCTAATCCTGCTACCTCTGCTATGCAATGGTTATTACAAGCGTTCTGTGTAATGACGGGCTTTAGTGACGCCCCCGCTCATGTTTCAAAGCCTTTACAGTCAGGAAGGAAACAGAGGAACCATCCCATGTTCTTACAGCATTCTTTCAGGCAAACCTTATCCTCCAAGAATCGTATAGAGGAGACAAGTACTGTAGGTGTTTACGGAATTATTTGAGTATTGTAATTAAAACTATTTTTACATTTTCCGAAGCAAACATGAGTTGTGCTTGCCTGTGCAAAAGATGCCACCGTGATTCAAGGCTGTTCTGGGTGGTTGCTAGTTGGTTACTTTCTGGTTCAAGTCAAAAGAGCCCACTTCCCAAGTCTCTGTGCTGTTCTGATCCCTATGGTTCAGGTCCCATCTTTATGCAGATGAAAACTGTAAAGGCCTGTTCACACCAAGGACGATAACTATAACAATAAAGATATAGTTTATAAAATTGTTCTCAATATTAAAGAATAGCAGAGTTCACACCACAACTATAATGATAACGGCACAGAGAAACGATATCGTTGGAATCACTTTCAGAAGGATCTTATCCAGCTGATGAACGATAAAGACATTGACAGCCAATCAGAATGCATCCTGCTGTCATGAGCTCGAGCATTTAAAGTGACAGACAAACACGCTCTTAGAATAAACAGAATGATATCGTCCGCTGGTGTGGACTCTAATATAGTTATCGGTCTTGGTGTGAACGGGCCTTAAAGGTAGGGTAGGTCGTTTTTGGTCTAAAAAACTTTTTCCCAAATTTGTTTAAACTTTCTATATATATCAATGCATAATTAAAATGTAAGTACTCTGATAAAAAGAGTATAAAAATCGAGTGACTCTAGACCGTTTAATCTGCACTAAACACAGCTCATTATTTCCTGCCGGGACGAAACAAAGGATTGGCTTAGGCAACTGTCACTCTCTCGCAACCATGGCAACACCCCCGCTGCTACATGCGCTGCCCACATGCGCGTACTCGTTTGACTCGAGGAGGGTAAGAGACTAGTAAGAGACACAATTACATGCAAAACACGGCGTATATGTTATGAATCTTACACGAAATTCACCTTCATCACAGTGTAACTGATTGTAATGGGAAAACGTGTATCAATGCAACCTGTTTTTAGCTTTGCTTTATGTTACTAGCTCGTTAACGAATCAAACTCAATATATTTTAAACTTTACCAGTATCGATATGCTAGCTTGATAGTGAGTACTAACAGCCATGTTAGTTGTTTATATTCATAATGATAAAGTTAGGTATTTTATTACATGTGAGTCTGACATGATGTCACTACATGCACTGCTCCTCTCCGCTCGGCGCTGGTAAGCGCGTCCTCCAGCTGTGAGCTGTCGGCATCGCGCGTTCATGTGTTTTGGGGGCGTGGTTTTGGAAGGAGCCCAGAATGGAGGGGGTGGAAGTGAATGGAGATAAGTAGCTGTGTTTATTACAGCCCTGAGAGGACTACAGACACTCGATTTTTATACTCTCTTTTCCAGAGTACTTACATTTTAATTATGCATTGATATATATAGAAAGTTTAAACAAATTTGGCAAAAAGTTTTTTTTAAATCCTACCTACAATACCTTTAAGTCAGATAACTTTAGGTTGGAATACTCTACACAACGTTGAAAAAAAAACAACTACATTTTAAAACACAAGGCATCATACACTTGCCAACTTTGTAAATAATTATAGAGAAAAACTGGACATCATACGCTAAACGACTGAGGATCACACACTACCAGACTTTCAAGTCATTCCAAACACAACAAACTCATGCAGAAACATGTGCCACGCAAACAGGAGATGTA